GAAATATTCAGTTGAGTCAAATATTGCTGAAAAGTCAAGTAAAATGAGGAATGAGAACTGACTCTTGCATGCAATGTGTAAGAAAAGCAGTTTCAGTTGGGTGGTAGGAATGAATGCCTGATTGGAGTAGGTTCAAGAGAGAACAATAATTGGAGACAGCAAGTGAATACTAACCAATATTAGTATTGTTAACTTTTGAGGTGTTTTGCTGCAAAAGGGAGTTGATTTTGTAAAAGATGGGCTGGGTAATAGTGATACACTCACAGGAACAATAGAGTAGGGGAGAAAACTAATGACACAGGAAAGGGGAGAAATGGCACAAACACATCTAGTGGTGGGATTGGCTTTAAAAAGTATAGTGCAGGCGAGGTGGAGAATATACAGACAGACGGGTGCAGAGAGTAGATGATGTTATGAGAGTTAGTGCCAATTCTCCAACTGCTTCAATTTCCTTAAATAGGAAGCAAGGTCATCTGCTGACAGAAATAATTATGGTCCAAAGAAATACTGTGATTGTCAGGTAGTGTTAAGTGCTTCCTTAAGGAACCAGCCAGTGGCTAAGGCAGGAGTTGCCTGGTGTATCTGGGGTGAGGTCGAGATCATGAATCTAGTCACCTTGGTTTCCCGACTATATTCAGCTTCTCGGGTGCAAGTGCAGAGCAGGGAGACTCAGCCAAGGATGGGGTTTCGGCAAATGAGCACAACACAAGGGATTTGAGGGCGTATTCTAGGCAGTGGTCATGACTGACCATGGAATGTAAGTTAAGTTGGGTAAGTGAGGAAAAGAGGACTTGAAGGTTGTGAGGGGGATGGTATCAACTTACTGATGGTCACGGTGACTCCAAATCAGTACAGTTGGGGTATCAGAGCTAATGGGTTGGAAGGAAAACAGGTGTTGAGAGAGGGATGCATGAAATTGAAACCATGGTGTGACTGAAATTATTGGTAATTACATGGAATGAGTACCCAAGGAAGGAGAAAAACATAATCATCGGACTTTTTAAGGGAATTGAGAAGCCTAGTTTGCTGCATCATTTATGTCACTGGCTCTCAAATATTACATGGAGAGACGATTATAACCGAGATTGCTGGATTCCACCCCCTGAGCTTTAAAGTAGCGCCTGAGAATTTTCATTTCTAAATTTCCTCGTGCTGCTGTTGCTGTGGTCCAGGGACAATACTTTGTAAACTACTGATCTGTGTGTGTTGAAATTGCCAAGAATTAAGACAGTAGTTTTGTAGAGTGACAGTGAGCCAGGAGAAAAAAACTGGCAAGAAAGAAAGAGCACCACTCCTAGGAATTTACCTGAAGAAAACAAAATCCCTGATTTGAAACATATACACCCCTGTTTATTACTGCTTTGTTTGCAACAGCCAAGGTATGGAAGCAACCTAAGTGTCCATCAAGAAATGAATGGATAAAGAAGTGGTATATATACACAATGGAATATTCAGCCATAAAAAGAGAATAAATCCTCCCATTTGCAGCAACATGGACGGATCTAGATGGTATTATGCTCAGTGAAATAAGCCAGGTGGAGAAAAACAAATACCAAATGATTTCACTTATTTATGGAATATAAAAAAAAGCAAAACAGAAGGAACAAAACAGCAGTAAACTCATAGACACCAAGAAGGGCCTAGTGGTTACCAAAGAGGAGAGGAGAAGGTGGGGAGGAGAGGGGAGGGGGGGATAAAAGGACACAATAATTTGCAATCACAATATAAGTTGATCATGAAGACTGTCAAACCACCGTGATGTATATTTGAAACCAACATGAGATTGTATATTAATACTGTAATTAAAAAAAGAGTGGCCTGGTGATCAGCAGAAAACTGCATGAGGGGTTGTGGTCATGGTATTTGCTAATAGATTTAAGGCTGGGAGTTTTCATGGGGATTGGGTGAAATTGCGTGTCTGAAACAATGGCTTGGTAACAAAATGAGATTAAGGCTAAAGGCACAGGTCAAGAGCTGTGCGTATCTAGCTTTTTATTATCATCCAGGGCCTTTATTTGGTAAGCAGGTCTAGTTAAGTTGCCTAAGAGAATCTCTGGTGGAACTGCTACTGTATTCATCTCAAGAGTGGTTACAATTATGCCAATTCATGTTCTGGTAGAAATAAAATCCACCCTAACTAGGAAATGTTAAGCCCTCCAACACTGGTTATCACTTTACATAAGAGCAGGCATGCTGAGAACTTGTGGGACAAGAACAGCTAGGTAGTAGGGCAAAACAGCACTGAGAGCATAGAAGGTAATAGAGTGGAACTGTGAAGAGACAAAGTAGGGAGGTCTACAGTGGCCAGGAGAAAAGGCAGGGTACAGACTACATACAGTACGGATCATTACCTGGGACCAATTTGTGGTTCCACCACTTACTACTCATGGGATCCTAGCCAGATCCTTTGAGGTTTCTCCTGCTTAGTTCCTGGCTTATTAAATGGGCCTGTCTTCTATGCCACGCCACGTGCCTCAGAGGAAAGCTGAGGGCTAAATGAGTCAAAGCAAGTGTGTTGAGAATATCAAGTACTATACAAATATGGAATACTAAAAAAAAGTAGTCATACTGAGCTGTCCTTAGAAATCAGGGCAGAAATACTTAGGTATGTTCAGATGAGCATAAAGGGAGAAACTTGCTAAGGAAAATGCCGAAGTGTATTCTAGAACACAGGATTTAGTACACTATGGGGGCAGTTTCACATTCAATGTGGTCTTGAAAGCCTCATAAAAAGACTGCTTTACTGACATTTATGTTGAGGAATTCATAGAGCAGTTCCCGTAGGAATCACATCTTTGGACCATAGTCTGATATACATGTAGAACTGGCTTGAACTTGAGCAACTACAATCTCCCCTCTCCTCATGATGCCTACCACTAAATAGGTACCTACTCTACATACTGAGAAAAATGCAGGACCACATGCACCCTTAGATGCACCTTTCCATCTTAGTTTTTGTTACTTGGAATTGAAATTGCCTGGTGCTGTGAAGATTATACAAACTGAGAGCAGGGGCTATGCTGTCAAAATTCTCCAGTGGTTTTAGATCTACCATCCTTAAGATTGTCCAATCCTTAATATGGCATAAGCACTTCCCAATCTGGCCCCCACTGTCTTACCTCACTGTTCTCGTCTGTACCTGGTGACTCAGCCATACTTCATTATTTCAAACCTCCAATGTGCCAGACTTAGTTCTGACTTAACAGCTTTTGTTCCACTGGCCCAGTGTACCCTGTCCCATGCTTCTTGGCTCTTACTTACTTACTTTTGATGTCACTTCCTGATGCCGCCCTTAAACCCCCTTCTGAAGTTTGGGTTAGACCCTTTCAAGCGTACCTTCTACTTCCCTCATTATAGCACTTCTCACACTACTGTAACTCCGTGCTTAATTACCTGTCTCACCAGACCAAACTCTGTGAAGCAGATGAAAGTATTGCTCATGTTTCTACCATTTAACAGTGCCTGGATTTGGGGTGCAGCCATCTGATGTACATTGAAGTTGTCAGTGGCAAACACTTAGCACAAATTCAGTGAAAGAAGACCTGAACAGTTCTATACTAGGAGACAAGGCATTTGGGGTTTAGGAGGGCAAAAATAAGTGGCCTAGCAGGAGCTTCAAGGAGCCTACTGCTATTTTAACCTAGGAAAATTTTGTACACGCACTATTAGCCACCATAAATCAGATGTGTGCTGTGTGGCAGGCAAAGGGCAGGAAGTAGCAGTGAAGTTAGTAAATATCTATTTTGAGGACTTTCTGGGGTGACCATGTCATCAAAAAAAAAAAAAAAAGATCAGATTCATATCCTGAATCAACTTGGCCTCTGTAGGTTCTTACTAGTGCTACTGACTCAAACCTTTTAAATTTGCTTTTGTCTTATTTTAATACTCACCATGCTTCATATATACTTTGCGAGAGAAACTCATAAAGATCGTCGTCGTCGTAGTATCTCTTCAGTCTTTTGCTATACATATTTTAAGTCATTTTGAAAAGAGGTAGTTTCAGTTTTGACCTGTGTTTACTGCAGAAGCAGTAAGTCAGGCATTACTCCTTTCTGAAGAGTAGCGGTCTCCATGGAGACTCGCTTGCTTATTGCTTAGAAAAGTTGTGCCTGTACTAAGCTAAAGCAGCAGTGTTCTAAGTGCAGTGGGTAAATTTGGGACTGACTAGATATGTTTAATACTATTAAATACTACATTGTGGACCATGTTTTTCCAATATGAAATATTCTTTTGGTTATCACCAGCTGGTAATGCACATTTTATAGTGTCTGCAAGTTACAATGGATTTAGAAATGTACCAGTGAGCCATTCAAAGATGGTAAGATCCCCAAAAGCCAATGAGTAAGTCTCTCCTGCACAAAGACAGAGAGCAGTCGTATCTATTTACTTCAGGGCATAATATTTAGACCCATAGATATGTTATAACCCTGTTTAAATATCCACAGGGAATCTTATTTTTGCAAAGATAGTTCCAAAAATCATAAAACTGGATATATTAGTAATATAAAACACATCAAAATTAGATTAAGAATGTAGAACATGGCTCTTGTTCACTCTATTCTGGTGTAAAGATGTTACAAAGACACATACTTAGAACACCACTAAGTACCCGAATATTTACTGACACAGGTGTTGTCAAAAAGCTAATTTTAGCAAAGAGAAACCATGCATATTTTATTGTTTATACTATTGATGTGATTTAACTGCAACTTTGGCTTATGGTATTACCATTTCTCCTACTGTAGTTAAGTTTTAGTTTTCTCAAGGCCTTTTTCCTGACTCTTCTGAAAATAAAATTATCACACATTTCAAACTTTCAAATTAAAAATTATCCTGATAAAGGTGCCAGGTTGATATATTCACATATATCCTTTCTAATTTCAGGCTAGGCAAAGACAAGCATTTGGAGCTGTATTAATCTATTAAAGTAAAAGACAATCCAACTTAATATCAAGAGAAATTGTGCCCTTCCACGAGGTGTGTAATAGAGAAAATACTGGTTTTGATACATTATCTTATTTTATTCAAGTTAGTCTGATCACACATGGTCCAAGAACACTCAAAAACAAACCAAATATAAACATGTTAAAGGTTGGTCTTCAAACATCATAGCCAATGATGCCACGCTTGCCTATAATCTCACCAACATAAAACCACATCCACACCTCAGTGGCCACCAAACCATTCAGCAGAGCTTCCTGAAAAAAGAAGCACAAATTTTAATGCACATTTTTTCCCTTACATATTTAGAACTATTCTCTTTCAGGATTAAGTGACGGAGAATATAAGGACGCTATTCAAATAAGGGGGCAGTTTTACTCAAAGTCAAGAATTACTGATAACTTTGTTCAACTGCTGAGAACCCTTGAACTTACAATTACGTGGGGTAAGTAGTCCAGCGCTTATAAATACTTTCAAAGCATTCTTTAAAGACCTGAACTGACTTAACCCTTTCATTATTAGTTTATGAGATACTTTTGAGCCCTAAAACAACCCACATCCTGGAAATAGCTGACACATTTAGACAGGGAATTCTTATAAAGGATGGTTTTAAGCAGGCGGGTCTCTGAAAAGCCCTTTCTGGCGGGCTAAAGAAAATCTGCAGAAAGATGAAGGACTCTGCCTTCCCCTTCAGACATCATTTTATTCATTTCTTATCTGGCTTAACTCCTTCCAAGTTTCCAGTAACTACCTCTTTCACAGATCAATGTTTCATTGCCCTGAGGAGAAAAAGTGCAACCACAGGTGCAGAGCAGCGTTTCATCCAAGTGTAAATGTGAGGCTTGAGACTGCATTGAAAAAAATACCTTTCCAACACCAAAATTAGGCCTTTTCCTTTTAGTACCTGGAGGTTAATTTTGCCCTTCAAATCAGACCAGAAACATTGGAAGTCTCCTGAAAAATAACCATATTTTCCAGGATGTAGGTTCTAAAGCCAGAAATAATTTAGTTTGTTAGGGTTTTTGTACCTGTGTTTAGATCAAGCAAGAAAATATAAAATCCAAAGTCAATTTCTTAGTCTTTAAATTTTTATCTTACTGCAATTCAATAACCCTTCATATTATATTATATGCTTGCTGGGTTTTGGTATTTTTAACCTTTATACAAGTGTTAGCCGCCCAACTGTGACATAGTCCAAGAGATCTTTTGGCCAAAATGGGGATAGTTCCAAGACTACAGAAGGAAAAAAGTACAGAATCAGCAAAGTGAGCCATCCTATTTTAGTACACTAACCAAACTAAGAAAGGGGAAAAAAATATCTGCCCAGAAAAATGTTCGTGTCTTTGTTATAAGACTAACAGGAAACTAAAACATAAAATAGCTGAATTACTTTAACTCCAATGACAAAATTATAAAGATAAATATCTTTTTCAACAGTCAGGAGATTCTCTCTCATTATGCTGGTTTCTGCCTCACTGGAAAGTACATATATTAATCAAAACAATCAGAAAAATCCCAAGGGAAGACATTTTCTGTTATGCACATACGTTTTAGTTTAGCCCATAGTTACCTTAACTGTGAGCTGTTTGAAGCTACCCGTCTGAGCACTCCTGACTATTTTTTTCAAGCTCTGAATAGCTGTAGGGATCTCAGTAGGGGTTGGAGGAACCAGTTCAACCTTGGCATAGTACCAAAATGTGGCCAATCGAGGCTTCGAGTAAGTCACAGCAGCTGGAAAACAAAACAAAACAAAACAACCTAGGATGAACTCACTAGAGACCGAAAGAAGCAGCTGTGTGGGCCGGACACAAATATTTATTCATGCATCACTTTCATTCACTGCTTGTACCAAATGTGCACCCGGTGTGAAAAGTCAAAGCTGCTCCGTGGTAACAAGAGGGTTTTAAAGATGCAGAACACCTGTGTCACAGGGACGTTCAATCGGGTGGGAAGCCGTAAGCACATTCAATTATGTTAGGACTTCACTAGTGGCTAGCTGGTCCTCTTACTTCATTTATGAGTGGCAAATATAGTTAAACTGTAAGGTTAGCAGATGTTGAATCCAAAAGCAAGAAAAGAGTAACAATGTAACCATATTTTCTTGGTAAAAAGACTAGAAAATTTGGAGGGAAGAGGTGCAGAAGGGGAGGGAAGGAGCTATACAGAAAGGCATCCCTCAGACTAAGATGGAAACTTGTCACAAATTGGCTGCAAATACACATGGAATTCTATACCAATTAGTACCCATTTTTGGGATCTTCATCAATATATGCTGGATTAAATCTTTTAACAAGAGCACAGCTGCTCCTCCTTCAAAACACCAAATAAAAATAAAATCTCCATGTATTGTTTATCAGCCAAAACTCACATCAATCACTAAGCTGAAATTCCTCAAAGTATTTACTATTTCAGGGAAAAAAAAAATCTAAACATTCAGGGTAGATGTGAGACTTTGGTAGTGATTTTGGCAAGAAAAATGCATTTAAAAAACAATCCAATACAAATGTAAAAAGAAAATAGCACAAATGCATGAACATCCATAAGGTGTCTGCTCTTCAAAAATGGATTCTCTAAGTCTCTTGGCACTTTTCCTATTATTCATGGCCTGCATTTAGGTATTTCACTCCTCTTAGAATTACTCATCTCCATCTTACTCTGTGCTTAGGGCCATGGATAAATCTTTCAGCAGACACAAAGCTGTAAGAGGTAGCTCTTAATAGAACTGCCAATGCCTGCAAAGTGGGGCCACCAAGAACTACAGTCCTGTGTAATTGTCTTTAATAAATTACCTTCAACACACAGATATTCCACCCTTAAAAAAAAATCACTGCACTGTACAAATACTGTACTTCAGTTGGTAAATTTCTCAGGGAGTATAACTAAAACATAAAATAGCTGAATTACTTTAACTCCAATGACAAAATTATAAAGATAAATATCTTTTTCAACAGTCAGGAGATTCTCTCTCATTATGCTGGTTTCTGCCTCACTGGAAAGTACATATATTAATCAAAACAATCAGAAAAATCCCAAGGGAAGACATTTTCTGTTATGCACATACGTTTTAGTTTAGCCCATAGTTACCTTAACTGTGAGCTGTTTGAAGCTACCCGTCTGAGCACTCCTGACTATTTTTTTCAAGCTCTGAATAGCTGTAGGGATCTCAGTAGGGGTTGGAGGAACCAGTTCAACCTTGGCATAGTACCAAAATGTGGCCAATCGAGGCTTCGAGTAAGTCACAGCAGCTGGAAAACAAAACAAAACAAAACAACCTAGGATGAACTCACTAGAGACCGAAAGAAGCAGCTGTGTGGGCCGGACACAAATATTTATTCATGCATCACTTTCATTCACTGCTTGTACCAAATGTGCACCCGGTGTGAAAAGTCAAAGCTGCTCCGTGGTAACAAGAGGGTTTTAAAGATGCAGAACACCTGTGTCACAGGGACGTTCAATCGGGTGGGAAGCCGTAAGCACATTCAATTATGTTAGGACTTCACTAGTGGCTAGCTGGTCCTCTTACTTCATTTATGAGTGGCAAATATAGTTAAACTGTAAGGTTAGCAGATGTTGAATCCAAAAGCAAGAAAAGAGTAACAATGTAACCATATTTTCTTGGTAAAAAGACTAGAAAATTTGGAGGGAAGAGGTGCAGAAGGGGAGGGAAGGAGCTATACAGAAAGGCATCCCTCAGACTAAGATGGAAACTTGTCACAAATTGGCTGCAAATACACATGGAATTCTATACCAATTAGTACCCATTTTTGGGATCTTCATCAATATATGCTGGATTAAATCTTTTAACAAGAGCACAGCTGCTCCTCCTTCAAAACACCAAATAAAAATAAAATCTCCATGTATTGTTTATCAGCCAAAACTCACATCAATCACTAAGCTGAAATTCCTCAAAGTATTTACTATTTCAGGGAAAAAAAAAATCTAAACATTCAGGGTAGATGTGAGACTTTGGTAGTGATTTTGGCAAGAAAAATGCATTTAAAAAACAATCCAATACAAATGTAAAAAGAAAATAGCACAAATGCATGAACATCCATAAGGTGTCTGCTCTTCAAAAATGGATTCTCTAAGTCTCTTGGCACTTTTCCTATTATTCATGGCCTGCATTTAGGTATTTCACTCCTCTTAGAATTACTCATCTCCATCTTACTCTGTGCTTAGGGCCATGGATAAATCTTTCAGCAGACACAAAGCTGTAAGAGGTAGCTCTTAATAGAACTGCCAATGCCTGCAAAGTGGGGCCACCAAGAACTACAGTCCTGTGTAATTGTCTTTAATAAATTACCTTCAACACACAGATATTCCACCCTTAAAAAAAAATCACTGCACTGTACAAATACTGTACTTCAGTTGGTAAATTTCTCAGGGAGTATAGATGCAAAGGTCTGAAAGGGATGTACAAATGAGAAAGTAAATGAATGTTGGATGAAGGGAGCCTCTGCAGGACAGGGAAGTTACAGATAGGCTAGAAAAGAAGCAAGACTGAATCCTGTGGAACCAAATTAGAGTTGGATACATTCTTATGAACTTTTATTTAGTTTAATGTATACGTAAATGGACAGACATGGAAACAACTACATATATGCACTCTAGATGTGGGTTAGTGTGCACACACACACTCTTGTCCACTCACAGTGCCTAGAGGCAACGATATTCTAGTAGTCCAGTAACAGGAACATACCAGTGCCTAGATCTTAGTTTCAAAAAACCACTGTCTAATAAAAGGAACTAGGACTCCTTGGAGAAATGGCTGATTCTAAGGTTGGGGCAGGGAAAATACAAGATGAGTCTGAAGCACCTTGTAGTACCAGAAAAGCATGGGTGTATGTCAAAGCGACAGAGGTAGCCATGTGAAAGAGTTCTCAGTGTCCAAGGCTGCAGCAATATAAACAGCACACTACTGGAAAAGGGAAGCATGAAATAAATGTACATGAATCCATACAATAAATTAAATAAAAAATGGGAAAGAGATGCATCTTTCTCAAAGAAGAATTCCATTTAAATATATGTAGATACTCCCTCCTACAGGAGATGGAATCCCTGCTGTTGGTGATTCTTGCTCCCATCCCCTCTCCTGGCCTATACTTAGTTACTTGCTTCTGAAGAACAGGGTATGGAGGAAAATGTGATACACGTAGGTGGAGAAAACTAGCAACACTACCTAATCCAAGTATTGAAAGCTAGTTCACCACTGAGGTTATATGGTTACCAAGTGCCTCCTGATATATGATTGGGTACTTCCGTTTGTGGTACCCGTTATCAAAATCCACAGCTACAGACTAATCATGAGAACACCAGTCAAATTCACACTGGGGAACATCTTTATAGGATACCTAGACAAATACCTACATAGACACCTTAAGACTGTCAAAATCATGAAAGTTAAGGAAAGATTGGGAAACTCACACCAGCAGAGACTAGAGAGACTGACAACTCAATGCAGTGTGGTACCCTGGAGTGGCTCCTGGAACAGAAAGATTAATGAAAAACTGGTGAAACCCAAATCAAGTCCCACTTTAATAAGTAAGAAAACAAACCAGACTTTATGACCTTTCTGGGGAAGTCTGATGATAAAATTACTTACTTCTGCAAAGTTCTTGGTCCCCCAGGTGAATTAACATGTATAGTCAGTAGTATTTATTAGGTATTTAACTCACATTTAATACACTGAACTATGCTAGAAAGTGAAATATATTTCCACTTTAATATTATGACCCTAGTTGAATTCTCCTTTTTGAATACTTCTAGAAGAATAACAACCATTATCGTTCAATTATTCACAAAAATAGTGGAAGGTGCTTATTTATTTCATAATGAAAAAAGTTATTTTCATATTACTTTTCTTTTTGGATTTTATTGTTAAAGTGAGTTTTCAATTCCCCAACACGCACCACCTAAAGACTGACAGCCATGGTGGGAAAAAAAAGTCCACTTGAAATTTAAATAATTTTGCCTCAGATCACCCACAAATTCCAAAGAAATGAAGCTCTAACAATTCCTTCTCTTTTTACTTGTGTAAAACTGTGAAGCATTATCCTAACAGTTACCTTGTTTATCTTAGTAAAGTTGCAAATGTTAAGTTTTTTGGGAAAATATGTAAACTAGCAGACTGGGTTCTATAGGAGAGAATCAAGTATTTTGGTTTCTGGCACTGCAAGACCTTCAGTAACTCACTGTCTGGCTGCTGCTGGAGGCAAGAGAGGATAAAATGAACAAGTAAATACGAATTACAGTAAATAGGTTCAAAAATATTGCACGTATTAAAAAGTTCTTTCTATTCACATTTCATTATCAAATTTGAGCAAAAGCTACTTAGAGATAGATCTACCCTTCAGCCGCTTACTAGAACATAGCACATCTAAGCAAATACGCTTCCGTCATTTCATCTCACTTTGGGAATAAAATGAATAGCCTGTCACCCTGCAGACAACTGAAATATTTTCTGACAGAACAGCCTACTACTCAGTGCTGTGACTATTCGAGGTTGTTCTGAAATACGGTTATCTAACCGTAAGGCTTTAGCTTTTTCAAACGGAAAACCCCCATGAATTCCAAACTCTAAAAAGAATACATCCCTTTCTATGCTTACCGGGGCAGGGATACTCGTTCATAAAGTCCGATTCCACCTAAAATTTCTCTCAGATTAAAAAGCAAAGTATCCCAGAATCTGGCCAGGAAAGAAAACAAAGTCAACACCCCAGAGCTCACCCATCCTTAAAAATTCCTGTTGACTTCTAACACACCACTGAGAACCAGACAACCTGATGAGGCCGAATCTGCGCGCCCGTCCACGTCTCTGGCCGTTCCCTTTCCCTGACTCCACCAACAGGCGTAGCCTCCACATTCCTACTCCTAGAGATCTACGGGGGCGTCAGGGTGGCAGCTGCCGGGCGGCTCCAGACGTCCCGCACACGCCTGCCTTCACGGTGGTGGTTAGAACTCCGTTTCCGGGCTGTACAGAGAACCCGAGCTGAAGGCCGGGGGCGGAAAGCCAGAGGCGCCGCAAACCTGCCTCTGGCCCCCCACCTTCAGGCCGTCCCCACCCCGGCTCCGCCAGCCCCTCGGGTTACCACAGCCTGCGCCTTCCTCCCAGGCCCGCGGTCCGCCCGCCTGCCCGCGGCGGCAGTCCGACCCCGCGCTCACCGTTCACCAGCGCCGGGGTCTTCTCCGCGAGGTTACGGACGAACCGGGCCATCGTTCCAGGAGCGAGAGTCCGTCGCCCTGAACGGCCGGCTGAAAGTCACCCCCCGGAAGGACCCGCCGCAGGACTCCGTTCCGCTTCCAAGGTCGGGCTTCCTCTTTCCGCGCCGGTCCAAGATATTTAGATGTCCTACTATCTTTTCGGAATCTAGTTGGCCAGGTCATTTTCTTCAGTCACAGAGGACAAAGTGGATATGAAAAAATGAGATCAGAGAACACGTGGAGAACAATGGGATTCCGCAATGAAACAGGCACTTCTTGGGGCAGCCGCGCAGGGAAGTCCGGAAGACCGGCGAGGGGAGGGAAGGCGCATGCGTCCGGGCTTCGCGTGTTCAACTACACTCTTCTGCGAAACGTACTTTGGCCGCTTTTGTGAGAGAATCGGGGTAGTTGGGGCTGGACGGCGTCACTGAGATTTTTCTAGACCAATATGATTGTCTTATGAAGGCAGAGAGGGTCCCAGACCAAACATGTGAAGTTAGGGGCAGAGCAGGCGCCACGCCAGCTGTCACCTGACTCGGGTCGCTCTTTTGTAATCTCGGTCTCCGTGCATCCTGTATCAGGATTGGAATCCCATTTCCCCTAATTCCCTAACCAGCCACAGGGAACTATGCAGATATGAGGAACAAAATCAATTCACTGAGGGCCTCCAGTATGCCAGGCATTTTGGAATGTAAAGAAAGCTTGTGTATTAGGTAGTGTCCCTTTTAAGACAGATTGAAAAATGGCCAAATAGTGAGTGGCAGAGTTTGGGATCTGAAGAGGTTGCGATGTAAACACAGAGACGGGGCATTTGTATCGGATCTGGCGTGGGGCTGATCTGGGAAGACTTCATAAAGGAGAGGAAATCCTTGAGTTGATGTATAACTAAATAGCTATACAATACTGTCCGCTGACTTTATAGTTTAATATGACTGGAAGGAAAGATGTATGTAGGGCAGTGGCAACTGATAAACTAAAATGATAAATATTGTACCCCGGGAAACCCTGTGCAGAAGTATAACTTACTGGTGGAATGTTAAAAGTGCAAAAAAAAAAAAGTGATATTAAGGAGTCAAGACTTCCAGTGAAGGAGTGGAGTGATTCAGCTGCTCAATATTCCAGAGAAGTCAAATTAAGGATGGCAAAGTTAATTTAGCAACATGGAAACATTAGCTAGAGCAGTTTAAAAAAATTAGAAGCCAGAGCCAATGAGTGAAGAAATGCGGCTATAAAGGAATACAAGACAGGAAACCAAATTAAGCATGTAGAACTCAAGGAGAGGCTGCAGATGGAGAAGGGGGATTGACAAGATAACCGAGGAAGCATGAAAGGAGGTCGGAGGGATTAGCCTTGAAATGGAGGGGCTTTCTTCCACAGATGAGAGAAGTGTCAAAGTGGAAATCTTTCCATGAAGTAGAAGGCAAGGTCTTCAGTGAAGGCTAAGTGGGAGGGAGAATTTGAGGAAAGAGGTTAAAAGTTTGGAATAGCTGTTGAAGGACACACAGAAGGTTGTAGGGCAATGTCAGAGACAAGTTTGTGGTTGTGCCGCCCTAAGGATTGTGTCATTTTCCTCCAACAGCTTGGATACTGTAGCAGAGGGGAATGGTTGGGTTAATCTAGGCAGAGGTACCTCTACGTATATTTTCACACGACAGAGGTATAGAAACAAGAGGCAAGAAAGGTGAAGCCAAAAACGAACTGGTTAGGAAAAAAAAAAAAGCCTGGAGACTCATCTGAGAACTCCAGGATTCCAGACACCTGCTAAGGCAGGTCACACACACAGGATCACTACCTTAAAAAGAGGTGAAAATCAGACTCCTCAAAACTTGGAGAGGGATTTCTGAAGCTGTCACTAGCTTTTAATACTGTAATAAAGGAAGTGATAACAAAGGTTAGTCAGGTGTTCATTTATTAAATACAAGCTTTGAACAAACACCACCAGGCAAGTTTGACAAGGAGTAACCTTCCTGGAATGTTTTAAAATACAGTTATGTTGATCAACTTTTATTTCAATCAAACTTTTTGTTGTGTTCTTTTTGTTTCTAGGTTTTCCTGTTTAGCAATTAGAGCATGTGCATTATTTCCTCACATGACATCAACAGTGCAGCATCAGCCTCTGGCTTGTAAAGGCACCCAGTAGACTTATGCTCAGGGCAATGGCTGCTTAGCAACCAGCATCCAATAAAGTAATGAAGCTTTTGTAGAGTGTGACACCAAATAGCAACTGGCACCTTCACCTGTACCATGAAACTAAAGTTTCTTTCAGTTTTCACATATCACTAAAAACTACATTTAAAAACAAACCAACCAATCCAGATTGCTTGATAAAACCTACTTACATAATCTTTGAAGTTTAGTATTACCTTCTTAGTAAGCAATACTAGAGCTGATTCAAGAGACTTCATTTTCCTATCATACTCCAGCAGAGCCAACACGTAAAACTAGGTATATCAGAAAGTCTGCTCTAAAGGATTAAGAGCTGCTTCTGAGTTCCAGATGACAAAACACTTCTTTAAGCTTCCAAGTACATATATGCATTGCATTGTACCAATATAATGTTTTCGTCTCATTTATGGGATGTTCTTACATTGCTTCAAGGAAAGAAAAAAGGCACAGAAGACACTAGGTTTTCTTACCCATTGTGGCCTTAAGCTATAAACTTGCCTTTGTGATGAGTTTAAAGATATTCAGCAGCATTAATGGTGCCATAGCCATTCATAAAAAGTTTCAGGAAAAGAGCTTTAACAAAAAAAAAGCTTGCCAGAAAAGGCTTACAATTTGAAGACTAAATACAGAAGTAGAATACAGATACAAGAGGCAGCATAGAGGCTGTTAACTAGAAAACTGCTGGGAGCAGCTGCCTTCTGAGGTTTTGTGCCCATATTCCCTCCAATTTTCTCCTATGAATCTCTGGTCTTTTCCCTACTTCTTTTAAAAATTAAAACATCCTATTAGGCTGGATTTGGAAGATAAATGCAAGTAGGTAGAAGCTTATTTTATGCACAGTTCATTCTCAGAGGAGGAGGATATTAAATACGAAATGAAGTTCATTTTAAGAATATAAACAATTGCTTCCAAAGGCCTTTAAAGGCCTGGGGAGCATGCTGAATTGGTCTCTTACATTCTGGCATTTGCAAGAGTCATCGACTTCTGTTACCATTTATAAGATAAGCACAGCCAACAGGCAACGTCCACTTATGTCTAGTGTGGGATGCCCCCTGATTTGAGGTTTTTCAGGTACCATCAAAACACACCAAGGACTGCTTATAGCAACTTGTGTTGTAATATCAAAAAACTACCATCTTATTTGAAAGAGGCCATGATTAAAAATAATGTACTCTAAACTAAGCAATAACCTGTGTTTATAGATCATACTACTTACTCTTCTTGTCACTTTTATTTTCAGGGTTAGCAGGATAGTGACAACCCATAGGGGAATGTGCCTCACTTAGCATGTTAAGCTGCACAACGAGTACAGAGCTCAAGCTCAACTTGTAGAAGTGGGCCCATCCACCTACTAACGACATAGGGCTAAGTGGATACTTACCAAGGACAAGGTTGTGTTCAAATCCCTACTTTGTTAACTGACGACCTAAGGCTGAGTCAGAAGCAACTCTTGGAAGTTAGATCACAATCCCAAACAAACACTAACTATATACATGTTATAGTCTTAGAATTTTGTCTAGAGTGTTAGTAAATATGATCATACACTGCATACATTTTACCATGGAAAAGACAACATAAAGCGGTACTGAGTTTACACTAGACCAATATAAAAACACATGGTGTGTGTGTGTGTGTGTACATACACTGTTGATATTAGTGTCTTAAAATGACATTTTCCATGGTTACAATGTTTGTCGCCTAACTTTTCTACTCAAGCCTCATCCTTACAGCCAACAAATTTCCTTCTGTAAGATAAAAAGATCCCCAAAGCTTCCTTTATTCTTTCACCTCCAGATTTTTTTAATGAAGTGTCAAAGCTCCAAGGTTGTTCTACCAATCCTCCTAAAAATATTTAGGGCTAACTGTTCTGTAGTTATGACAACCCTGTGGGAGAGTGTCCTCCACGGCGTCACTGAGTTATGAGATAACACAAAATTAAGAGCTGCCAACAGAAGTTGCAGTGGATTCCCTTGTTTTCATCTCATCTATCATCATATTCAAAAGTCTACTCAAATGTCAATCTATCTGCTTTTATGTGAAAGATTATTTTTTAACATTGCAGAGCTGTAACAAGGAAAAGGGCTGAAGGCCGGATCCTGAAGACTAGTAAATGCCTTGCTGACACAGGACTTTCTGATGACATCAGCTGTCCCTGAAATATGTGACATCATATATTTAAAAGCAGTGTTCACCAAAGACATCTGAACAGTTCTTGGAAGAGAAACAATAAAGTGGAAGGAAGTTTTAGTATTTAAAGTGAATATAACTCAAGGAAGGCAAAGGAAGAAGACGGACTAGGGAGAGAGAACAAAGGGTAAAAACTAGTGATGACTTTTGAGTTTGTCGATGGTATAGTCAACATGATGTCCTATCAGCCGGGAGGGCACTGCGAAGTTCTTAGGAATCTTACCACAATTAGAACAAGAGCAGAGCTCCAATTTAGTAAGGAAAAAAAAGAAAAAAGGAAAAGGAACAGAACCAGAAGAAACCACCACCAATTGTTTGCACTCTGGGGTTGGTTTTTGGTTTGTTTAGTTCACAGTATTTATTCAAGTTGCTCCTTTTGTTGCTGTTTCCTCTCTGCGAGCCACCGCTGGATTTTTTCTTTTAGTTCTGTGTTTGGCCGGATCTGGTCCATGGTGAGGGGACTACGGTTAAAGGGATCTGTTTGGTCACTGGGACAAAGAAAGAAAGGGAAATGGGGTTATTTCTGCAAGTTCTAACATCCTAAGCCAAAAACAGCACACCTGGGCGCCTTGCTTTGAGACTGAAGCTAGGGTGCAGTGTAACTGAATCAAGTGCTGACCTGAGGTTAGAAAGAATGAGATGAGAAAGAGTGATTCAGGAGATCTTTTTTTTTTTGTCTTTCTGCTCCTTAAACTTTGTCTCAACATTGCTCTCCAGATGGTATCTGACTTGATTTCCCTAAGGCAGAGAGACCCCGTACACTTATGTCAGAGTTAAGTGGTTTGTAGTTTTAGTGAGAGACCCTTGAGATAGTCTAAGATGTTAAGGGATAAAGCTGTGTAAAAGTTGACATTTGACTTTGTCGATTGCTAGACAAATAATGAAGATCATGGTTTCCTGACAGGTAAGAAGGTTTATAACATAGTTTAAGGACTGATGTATCTTTTGTTTGTATTCTGAGGCCACCATGAAATATAAAATTTTTCAGGCACTTTGCCCACTTAGCAAAGCATCAAGCATATAGCATATGCTTAATACCAAATACTATGAAGCATAAAGTCCTTTTTTCATTATTTAAAAGAGTATTCCTTTAAGCTTGGGTCAACTTATATAGCTTAGTTTTAAATAGGCAGAGTCTCTCAGGACCCATTTCTATCTAATGCTACACTGTGAGCGGCAGGCTGGGGAACACTCACAGCCCCACGGCTGAATACAACAGCTGCGGCAGAATGTAGACTAACCCATATGATGAATATAGTGTAAAACCTGAATTAAAGACAAACCACTTTTATGTTTTTACAGCAAAATAAAATTAAGATAATTTCAAGTCAACTTAGACTCCAAGTTGACATATTTTATAACATGTTGGTAGAAATTGTTTCCTTAAGGAAGGAAGAGGTTAGGTTACAGCCAGCATTTCCCAACAGGTTATCTTGTTTTAGATGTTTAAATCCTTAACAATCAAGTGATGTATCTCTGCCAAAAAGCTGCCCCAATTCATTAATCAATAATATGGGGCACCTGCTGGGTGAACAGCACTGTATTAGTGACCTGGAAGAAAAAGACGACAGGAAACAAACAGAATGTGTGGTCCTGAGGCTGCGCCCTGGGCTGGCTCACCTGAGCAGATGTCTGGCAATGGTGGATCTATCCACAGTGACTCTGGAAGACGGCAGCACCACAGGGTCAGACATCAGTGTGCTCATGATGGGATCCAGGAACTCGTCACAGGCGTCTGCATAGGTCTCCTCTTCCTGTTGCTGGAGGTCTGCTAGAGACTGAGCGCACAGACACCTGGGAGTTAAGGTGAACTATTCAAAATGTTCAGTGACTACCCCTTCACCTTAAAGGGTCATTAATAACCCTTAGAGTGACAAAGACAATTCTCAGCTTTATTTTTGAAACAAGCTAAGATGGATATTGTAGGAGCAAATTTAGCATTCAGCTGAAACTTAAATTTGGCTCAGCTGCTAGCAGTCATAGTTGGAAATGGTTTAAGTGTTAACAGAAAAAGAAACACATCACATACAACATCCTTCTGTCAACAGTCCTGCTGTGAATGTCATATTTCAAAAGGGGATGGGGGTGGGAGGATTATTATTTGCATAATTAGAGTCACTCATGCAGTCTGTCCATGAAAAGCAGTTTCTGGGTTTATTTAGGTGCAAACAGGTATAGAAATTTAAAAGTGGCTCCAACATTTGATTCCTTCATGACTCTAGTTCCTCACGGACCCACCTGGCTAAGCTCTAGGCAAAGATGAAGCCCAACTCAATAAATAAGTAACTTGATAAAGGTAAGACTGGTATCAGTAAGGAAGGTCTTCTCCTAGATTCTGTGCCATGGTTTTCCTTCTTCATAACTGCCAACAGAGCTCTGTCATGCTCCAACCAAAGGCATTAGCTGAATGCAATAAAGTATTTTAATTTTTGAAATGTATGGCTATTCCCATATAAGCCAACTGCAACTACAAACAGAACAGAGAAAATCAATGACTAAAAAGACTAATCTTGAATTCTATTCTAAAAAGTTCTTCTGCATTAACAATATAGATTTTCCATCTATTAGTGACACTGTAGAAAAGTTTTCATAAAAAACAACATATAAAAATCTGTACACTCTTTTCTTCTAGCAGAAGCTTCTTACATCAATTTTCTATTCTCACCCTCACGGTGAAAACAGTATTAAGAAGACGGCAGTCCTAGTGATTGACTGAACAGGAAGAACCATCTGTTGTTATTTTCTCAAGGCAATGCGCTTTTCCCCCCTGAAATATGGTAAAAAGTAGAAGAGCTGAGTCAACAATGTAACTGAACATATTAATAAATTTTCCTCCTCCTCACCTTGATTCTCTCTGCTAGGTTGCTGAAAGCCACAATCATATTCCCAGGCTTATTTATTTTCTTCAGGACTCGGACTGTCTGGGCAAAGAGAGTTGGGGAGTAGGAACGCCCATCCTTGGGCACAGTGGCACAGAAGTTTTCCTCATCCCTGGAAGATCGCCATCAGAAAGAAAGTGAGCGTCAGAGAGTAGGTCTAGGAAGGAGAGAATGGATGGGCTAAGGAACAAGATCCCCCAACACTTATATGCCATGAATGCTCTTTTGATACAGAAAGATTTCTTCTAATTTTTAGGACAGAAGTCTAGCAAGTATCCTGTGGCCTTAAAAGAATAATGCTTTTCAAAACAATCCTACAATTGGCAAAGCTTACCTCTGCACAAATCAAGCAGAGCATTGGGAAGTCTGAACAATGTACCACAGGTCACACAAGATTTCATTATTTAAAACTACAGGAGATTCCTTCGTCAACCAACTAGAAATGAACCACTGATTTTCTATTTCCACATGGTTACCAACCAGTCATTCCATTATCAAAACCCCAAATCAAAGTATTAGCATCCCCTCTGGCTTGCTCAGTTTAAATTTCAGGTACCCAAGATTTAAGTAGATGGTGCAGATATCTGATACAAGCTGCTGGGGTTTAAAGTCAAATTCGCTGAAGTCCTTGACTTTCAAGGCCCCCATCTTGGGGCCAACCAGGTGCTGCAGGAAGTAGTTCAGCATGGAGATGATGCGCTCAGCCAGGAAGGGATGCACGAAGAGTGACTTAATCTCTGGAAGAGAAGCCAAAGTCTGTGACAACTTGGTCCATTAGCAATCTTTCCCTTATTATGTCTTAAGAGTTTTACTCAGAGACCCCTGGGGCCTACCATTTTAAAAATTAGACACAGTACATTTCATTGCAGCAATATGAGAAAATATAGTCAAGGAAAAGCAGACAGAATACAAAAGGTATCACCCAGAAATAAATACTGTTAACATGTTGCTAATACATTTCTAGCTTTTCGGTCCATATTTATACACATGTATATTTTTAAATTCATTTATGAAGTGTCACAATGATATACCTTAGTGTGGGGTTTTAAAAATTCTCTAGGCATATAGTCTTTGGGTTTTATTTCTTTGATAATTTCCTCCCCTGCATTCTTCTCTTTTGACGCTTCCTAGATTGAGCCTTTCTCTTCTAATTTCCATCTCCTTTTCTTTCTGTTTACTTTCATGGAAGACTTCCTTGAATTGACCTTCTAAGTCTTCTACTGACCTCATTTTCCATATCCAAAATGATTAGCATATTGTATATCTACTGTAACTTAATATTAACTATATCACAAATATCTTACATTTTAGTGAATGTTTGCCTCTGTGCTGTCCAACATGGTAGCCATTGGCCACATGTGGCTTTTAAATTAAGATTAAATAAAAAATTCAGTGCTCAGTCACACTAGCCACATTTTAAAATTGTTCAATGGCCACATGTGGTTCGTATCTATAGTACTGGACAGTCCAGATTTAGAGGACATTTCCATCACATAAAGTTCTATAGGGTAAACCTTTTCCAACAGCCACATGGTTTTCTAGTATATGGCCCACTGTAAGTTATTTATTTACTTCACTTTTATTGCTGGATGTAATGGTTATTGTAAATTTTTCCTGTTATAAGCATTTCACTTGATGAAACTTTTTTGCTGCTTATTTTTTTTATGCTCACTTTTTAAAATTAAGGTATCATTGATAGACACACTTATGAAGGTTTCACATGAAAAACATGGTGGTTACTACATTCACCCATATCATCAAGTTCTCCCCATACCCCACTGAAGTCACTGTCCATCAGTGTAGTAAGATGCCACAGAGTCACTACTAGTCTTCTCTGTGCTACACTGTCCTCCCCCTGATCCCCCCCCCACTATGTGCACCAACCATAATACCCCTCAATTCCCTCCTCCCTCCCTCCCCACCCGCCCTCCCCCACCCCTCCCCTTTGGTAACCACTAGTCCCTTGGAGTCTGTGCGTCTGCTGCTGTTTTGTTCCTTCAGTTTTGCTTTGTTGTTACGCTCCACAAATGAGGGAAATCATTTGGTACTTGATGAAAATTTGATGAACTTCAGCATGGACATATCTTGTAGACTAATTACTTCCTTACAATGAATTTATAAGGAACTACGAGATCACAGTTTTAAAAAATAAATTGATACATGTCAAGTTTAACAAGCAAAATAGGAAAAGGCTTCTTCAGTACTGCTGGTTCAGGTTTAGTCATTATCTACTGGTTTTGCTATGGATGAGTTTAGCCCTTATTTCCTGTCCCTTGTCCCCAAATACAGATCCCCTCAGTATATCAAATCTTTGGTTAAATAGAGTTTATGTCATTAAGATTATGTAAATATCATTCATAGCAGTCACAGAGTCCTAATGAATATATATATAAAGTAATAGAGATACTTTTTAATACTTTTTGTTTTCAGACTACCTGTCACTACATCTTTTTAAGCCCTTCAACAAAAATGTAAAACCCCCAACAGAATCATTTCCAGCACTTCTGTATTTTTTGGACATGTTCTTTCTGGAACCTTCCATCCATCACTCCAGTCTGGGCTCTTTGCTCTATAGGCCTGCTGTGTGATGGTTACACAAACTCTCTACCATCATCCTGAGAACTGCCTTGGTGACTCTTGTACAGGATTCCACCTTCTTCCTTCTGGACTCACCCTCTCATTTTGATAGAATGTATCTTTCTGTAGCTTCTTAAGAAAGGATACATTGGAAGTACATCTGATACCCTCATATCTGAAAATGTCCTTACATTTTACAGAACTGATAGATTGGCTGGCTATAGGATTCCAGGCTAAAAATACTTTCTATCAGGAATGTCTTCCAGCTTCAAATGTCACTGTTGTGAAATTCAGACATTTTGGTACTTAAACCATCGTACACGACATCTGGGCACCTTTTAGGATCTTCTCTTTACTCTGATTTTATGAAGTGTCACAATGATATACCTTAGTGTGGGGTTTTAAAAATTCTCTAGGCTTATAGTCTTTGGGTTTTATTTCTTTGATAATTTCCTCCCCTGCATTCTTCTCTTTTGACGCTTCCTAGATTGAGCCTTTCTCTTCTAATTTCCGTCTCCTTTTCTTTCTGTTTACTTTCATGGAAGAGTTCCTTGAATTGACCTTCTAAGTCTTCTACTGACCTCATTTTCCATATCCAAGAGCTTGTTCTTGTTCTTTGAATAACCCTTTTTATGGTCTCTTTGTTCTTGTTTTATGGATGCTGTATCTTCTCTCATTCCTTTGAGATCATAAAAAGTTTTCATCTACTATCTGTGTGTCACATAAGAGGATTTCCTCAAATGTCTGGTGATCTTTGGCTGTCATTTCATATGCAATCAATATAAAAATTACTAATGAAAGATTTTACATTCTTTTAAAAGTACTACATCCTGCAAGTGTGTATTTAAAAAAATTTTTTTAAATTAAGGTATCGAAATACAATCTTATGAAGGTTCCACATGAGCAACATAGTGGTTACAACATTCACCCATATTAACAAGTTCCCCACCTCACCCCATTGCAGCCACACTCTGTCAGCGTAGTAAGACTGCAGTGTGTATTTTATTCTTATTGCACATCTCAATTCAGACTAATCACATTTTAAATGTTTGATAAACACAAGGGGAAAGGGGCTACTGAATTGGGCAGTGTAGCTCTAGAGGAAGGAGAGATAAATGTCCCTGTTTCATCTACCACATTTAACCACTAGTTCAAGACTATTTTTCAGATTAACACACACACACAGATTTTTTATGGTTAATACACATACCCATATATTTATATGGCTAACTTGTCCTTAAGAAAAATCATACAAATTTATGCTTCTTGACAACTGTTTGAGGGTGACTATTTCCTCATCCAACGCCAACAGTGGGATCATCATTCTTGAAGCTTCTCTAGTGATTTATTTCCTTCTCAGACAGACTATGGTGGAGACTGTCACCAGTGAGAATTCTTTGTTTCAGCTAGACTGATCCCTCAAATGAAGCAGATTTTCTGGAAAGGCAGTGCTTCGTGTCCTTACCTGATGTCAAAAAGGCAAGGGTACCAATTGTTTCATTTGACATGATGTTATGGAAACGTGCCAGCTGTCCAAACATCTGTAGGCCAGCCTCCTTCTCTCGGCGGGCTTCTGGAGTCAGACTGTCCCATTCACCTCTGTCCTTTTCGATCTGTTGAACCTTTATCTTGCTCAAATACTGCAGAAAGCGGAGGTGAATGTATCAGAGAAGAAAGTGCAGTTGAAGGGAAGGTGATATTTAAGAGGTCTTACTTAAAATCTAGTCCACTGAGCCGGGAAAACCAGGGACTAATATGACACACAAGTCTTTATTTCTCAGCATAGGGCTGAAGCTTAAAAAAAATTGAGGAATTAAGAGAAAAAGAAATTGTGACTCCATATAGATCTGTTTTAGCTGGGGTACACTAATGGTAATTCTCCTAGGAAATATTATATAGTCCATGAAATAGAAAGGAGGATAAATAGTATAATGCATGAAACCTGGGCAAAAACAAACAGACTATGGTGAAAAAAGAACCAATCCTTCCTGAAGGATGGAAAAAAAAAACAAACCCCCAAACCACAAACCCAAAAAGATGTCTGAAAGGAGAACCATAAATATTTAAAACCTTCTACCTCTCATCACTCTTGCTGTTGTAGCAAAAAACGTGTTAAACTTTTAGTCACATGAAAACACCATCTGTGTCATTCTTTGTGTCACACAGCTCTTGCTTAGAAGGGTCCGTTTATTATAGGAACTTGTTCTTGTTTTCTAAGAAGCCTATCAAAAATCTTAAAGTACAGGATCACAAAAAAGCAGGAAACCTTTCTCACAAATTAAATACATGTTACTTGGGGGGCTGCTGATCAATATGAGGAGCTCTGGCTGTCCAGGGGGTTACCCTCATGATTCACCTGTTTCATCTTCCTTTGCCCTTTCTTAACACCTGCTGCAGGTAAGGCTGTGAAACTCATGATTCAAATACAGCTAAAGATCTGGGGAAGTGGATAAATGAAGAGTATTGATGACTTTGAGTCTTTATATGAAAAAATAACCCAAACCAGAGACTTTTTTTGAAGCAGTGGCACAAAAATCAGAATCTTTTAGGAGAGGGATAGGAAACACTGCCTTAGTGAGCTACTGCTACTAATGCACTGGGATAGAAAAAGGCTGAAGGGCACTGACTGGACACCAGGTCCCGATCTCCTCTGCAGTGCTGGCCTCATGAAGCCTGCCCACGGCACCTTATTTTGGCTTCCTCATGCCTTCTCTCCTACTCTCCACAAAGGTATCATCCCAGCGCATGAGGCCTCAATGACCCTTGATCTTGGTCTCTAATGGGACAATACTTATCAGGCTCTATAATGACAAGACTAGGGTCCCACCTCTTTTTTTTTGGTTGTCCGAGACTGTTACCAGGGGCGTAAGGATTGCTCTATTACAGTTAAAAGTAAGAGGTATGGACTGGTCATGATTTGATGATAATGACACAGTTAAATCTGGTTTTGTTTACCTGTATGGCTTCATCCAAAAGGAAGATGGCATCGTTCATTAGCAGGTTAAGAAAGCGGAGGAAAAGTGGGGGATTCATGGCTTCTAGATTCTTAGAGGCGTAGTCAGCCAAATCCTGTAAGTCCCGGCCCAAGCGAAAACCATTTTAGTACCGAACCACAACTCAGTAAGGCTTATCTGAAGCAAAACTCAGGAAACTCAGTTTTGGTTGCACCAAAAACTCTCTCACCTTAATGCTCTCTCGGTAGCTATCTGTCCCCCACATGTACCTTAGGATGGGATACATGGGACGGCGGTAATTGAACTTCTGTTCAAATTGATGGGGATCACCTGGGGTAAAGTAAGAGCAAAAAGCCAGCAAAGGTGGCACTTCAAGAGAAAGAGTAAGAGCGTATATCTACGTGTGTCATTTACTTTTATTTTGAACATGTGTGGGCTATTGGCAAAATATGCCCTGTGAGTTTATAAAGGCCTAAAGTTGTAGCCAGGTGTTTGCTTATTTCATTACTGACAGAACAAGAGAGACACAGACGTCAAGGACACCTTATGCAGACAAAGGCAAGGACCAGACTGTGCAAAAAGGCCAAGGGAGACAAATGCTTCCACATCCAAATGCAGAGTATTTATCAGACTCTGAATGAGGCCTCTGAGCGGGCCACTGTGGCAGGGACAGCCACCTGCAGAATGGGATACATGTGCAGAAAGCCCCACTTTCTTCATGGGTAACATCCCAACTGTGTAGCCAACCGGTTCTTAATTATTCTAAAAAGTCAGACCAGGAGCTAAAAATCTGAGGCCTACACTGCTTTTCACAAACCAAAGGAACCTCAAAAGCTCTTTAGATTGGGTCACATAATAGAAGCGCATGGGATCTGGAGTTAGACGACCTAGGTTTTCCTTCTGGCTCCACTTAATTCAAGTCTCTTAACCTTTTTCAACTTCTACTTCCTCAAAAATAAAATGAATTATAATATGTCCTCTACCATTACAACCAAAGGGCTCTAACAGTCATATAATGAGATAGCTGCAAGATTTGTTGTGCAACTTATGAATTATGAAGACCTACATACAGTATCTCATGTAAACATTGCTGCAACCCATTTTACAGATGAGGGAACTAAGGCTTAGAGGTGAGCAAGTGACAAAGTTATAATTCAAATATGGAAAGGTAGTCAGCAAAATGTTGGTTGTACTTATTGGATGGTAGGACATCCCTTTTAAAAGGGGTCTTTAACTCCTTAACATATTTTGTTTACTGGCTGAGATGGAGGTACTGTTTACTAAAATATAGCATCACAGTTAGATCTCAAAAGATCAAGAGAGAAAGGGAATGTTGCCTGCTATTATCCTTAATCTAACAATTAGATTGTTAGAGAGTTAGTCTGGATAAGACAAAAAAATCTCAATTTGCATACTGTCTCATTACTCACTGTACTGTAATTGTAAGGTAGAGAAAAATAAAGACCCAGGTTAACTGGACAGCCTAATTTGTTTCAGTATGATCTACTCAAGCAATATAATAAAGCTGATAAGTATATGTGGTTTTCTCTAGGTGAGACAGACCTGATTCTACCACTTAGTTGTATGATACAGACAAATAATTTAATCTTTTTTGCACATTCATGCTCTTATATGTAAAATGGGATAATACAGTAAAACTTTCCAGATAGTGACAAATTAATGAGACAAAGTACAAAAAAAGCACTTAGTATCAAGGCTGGCATGTAATACCTATTCAATCAATAATGGGTAATGACATTTTCCTAATAAATACTGATCAAGCTATGAAACACCACCAGTACCAGCTTCTCAGCTCTTGACTGCTTTACCTGTAAACTCAATGTCCACAAAGACCTTGATTAGAGCTTCTGCAAGGTGGGCTGCATAGGGAAAGTTGCAGAACACACGTTTCCGGTGGAATACACTGGATACTAAGGGATTTGGGGTCTGATCCAAGTGGGGCATCACTGCTTCTAACACCTCAGCTAGTTTGGCCCTTAGGTGGGGATTCTTCATCCTGAAAATAGGACAGAAAACAAACTGAGCTCATAGAAGACTTAACCTCCAAATTTATGATTGCTCTCTCCATATAAGGGCCAAAACATCCTATACCAATGTTACAGTCAAAAACAGGATTCTGCAGTTCTGAGTCTGCCAATCTCGGAGGGGGATAATACAGTTCAACTCTTGAGATGACAGCTTACCAAATATGAGGGCGAGTACTTAAGTTTCCATTTATGCTCAGCCATTCTAAACAGCCATGATTTTCTAGAACGATGCATTAATTACTGCTTACTATTCTCTAAGTTTGATCTGGGATAAACTTGCCTAAGTTTTCTGAGGATAAGGGCCAGCATATAATTATTCTACATTATTTATAATGCGTTCTGTATGTGCCTTATTAATACTTGTTGACTTAGGATTTCTCATTAGGTCTGCTCAGTTCCATGAAGGGTTGGGTTCTACCTACTTCTCACTGCAATAGCTCAGGGGATTATGAATCATTCTCTTCTTCTAGGTCAGTGAGTATATTCCTTTGGGAAAGAGGACTCCAAACTATGAATGAGAAGACCTGAGATCCAAAAGCATTTACCTAGGTTTACTGCTCATCAACTCAGGATTTTAAGAGCAAATTTTATCATGCAATTTCTAGATCATTAGCACCTGGCTGCCACTGGTAAGGTTTCTGGCATTAACTAACTATTTTAACCAGGGACAAGCAGTGGAATTCCCATCAGGTAGCTTATATGCAGGCTCATATTCTCTGTGGGCAAAGTCTTTTGGTTATTATGCCTCTCAAGAGTGGGATTTTTGGCTACCCATAAGGATGGTCAGGTGATTCATTAATGTTAACACAACTTCTGAAGGGAGCCCCTTATGATTCAGCCTTGTTTATTTTTCCATTTAGAAGACTTCTGAATGTTTTGCAGCTCTGAACAGTGACAGAGCCAAGCTTTCAGTACTTCACCTTTCTATGCTTCCAGTGAAAATGGTGATAAAGTGAAGGACATGTTCCAGGGAATCGGCTGATGTCTCCAAGATGTCATCAGCAAAGCGGCGGAGAAAAATAAGGAAATCACCCAGGTTATCTGCAAAAAATTCTGAGAAAGAAAATATTCACTATAATTAGCTAAACATCTGACTATCTGTACTAAGCAATATTTAAATTCCTCTCTTTCACTCGATGTAATGAAAGTAAAAAAACCCAATGTCTTGTAGGTACTAGGAATGGTGGTAAGTTAATACATGTAGAATCTCTTGCACAGCTAAGTCAATTTTATTTTTATCCAAGTAAATATAAAAATAGTAGACATATAAAATATTGTTAATACACCAGAGCAGTTTAAGAAAGTGTACTAACATATACATACATATATATTTCCACACTTAAGGTTAACTGTGCATTAAAAGGCCCTTGGGAATGTATGAAGAATCTGGAATAAGGCCAAATACATCAGATGACTATGGTCACCAGTGTCCAGGATGGTCTCCAAAGGCCCTGGCCTTCCTTGCATTCATGCCCTTGTGTGTCCCCTCCTACACTCTTCCAGGGTGGGAGATACACCCTGAGGCATACAGAAGCCGTGGTATGCTATTTCCATGATCAGGTCGTAAAAGCGTCCAGCTTCCATTTTGGTCACTTGCTCTGGGGTAGGCCGGCTGCTGTGTCATGAGTAGTACTAAGGAGAGACCTGTGCGGCCTGGGAAAGAGGCTAGCCGGCAACTGAGGTCTGCCAACAACCACATGACTAAGCTGTAAGCAGACCCTCCAGCCCTGAGTGGCAGCCTGGCTGCACCCTCCCGTGACCCAGAGTTAGAACTATGCAGCTAAGCTGCTCCTGGATTTCTGACCCAATGAAACCGTACGAGATAATGTTTGGTTTAGGTCGCTATGTTTCAGGGTAATTTGTTACTCAGCAATAGATGACCAATACACTGTTCAAGAACATATGACCTGACTTTGATGGCCAGCCCCTCACCAACATACACACATAATCTCCCTTCTGGGTTAACATCTCCAACAGGAGATGGCTTTTTTTCCTAAAGAAAAGCACAGGAAGAGTTAGATAAATTTACGAGTTGAACAAGAAACAATATTAGTGATACAAACTAGCAGCTTTGAAAACCTTGACTGCATTTAATCCTCTGAAGACTATTTTCTGGGCTGCAGAGCAGTGGGGACACAATGCTGAGGGACACGGTGTCAGTTCTCCTGCACGTTGACCAGTAGATACTGCCTGTGAGTTTGAATTGCTCCTCCAAAAGCAGTTGAATGATAACTAAGGAAGGGTACTTCTGAGGATTAAACGTCCAAAGTGGCCCAGTTAAACTTAGATGGCTATAAATAGGAAGTTCCCAAGGGAGAGCCTGCTTACCTGGCACATAAGCCAAAGAGCTGTAGCCATCTGGCAATGGAAATGTTAGCTCTGTCAGCTGGGGGCCCTCATTGCCTACGGCCAGCTGAACTAGTAGAACGGCCATGGACACCTGCAGATTTAGGCAATTTTGAAGCATCTGTGGTTCAGTCATGGCAGTCTTGGTAGAAAGATAGATGGTCATCAGTCGTTCAAACTGCTCACGGAGGTTGTCAGCAGCAGGGCTAGAACTGTGCTGAGCATCCCGCCAGGCAACCTGTAGCCGATGTAGATTTTGGTTGATTTTTACCATCTGATCATGCAACCTACCCCCAAGAAAGCAGAAGAGACTGGGTTAGGAGGCTCACATAGGGACAGCTGAGTACAGACTGGTTCAGTAAAATATAACCTCATTCATTAATTCTCTTTTAGGATGTACGGAGCTGCAACTGTGGTGACATAGAAGGTGCTCACCAAAGTTACTGACAGGGCAGGCAGGGTCATGGCACCGGGAAAATGTTACCAAGTATTCAACACAATTGAAGCTAATCACAAAGGGTTAGCAGCCTTCACCTGAAATGCACCATCCAAAGAGAGAGTACAGGCTGCGCTGTCACATAAAACAGGTAACTGTCAGGCAAAGTACCAGAAGCTCAGCAGGACAGTTTGACATCACAAGTGCAATGATCATACTTGGATGCGGTTAAACAGACAGTCTTCCTATGAAAGTTGGTGAAAAGGACTCTAGATTAGTAATGACCACATATAAAGTAGTAGCCACCTGGGATGCAACCTAAGAGCAGCTTCCAGTCCTCTGCTGTTCAACATAAATTTAAATTATTCTTCACAAAGGGTCAGTCCAATGTTCTCTAACAAAAGGAAGACCCATAATTCAATGTTATGGGTAGTTGTCTCTATGTGTACAGTCCAAAATCAACTTCTCTGACCCTGTAGATAACGCCCAGGGTTAGCGAGCCAATACAGATGACAGTCACTTTTGCTTTTGGATCTAGGCAGTTTAACAGGTTAAACACATGCTGAATTGTTATCTACTGGCTCATTTAAAATGTCAATGACAGGGACAGGAAAACTCTCTAATAAATACTTAATTGTATTTTTCCAGAAATGTACTGAGTTTTGAAAAACTTAAGTATCCTGAGAAAGCATTAACAGTTGTTATTCCCAAAACTCCTTCCTACACACTGTAACTATGAGTTAAGTAGCTATTTTCTCCCCTAATTTCCTATTCTTATAGTCACAACAAGCTAAATCAGAGGGAAAAAAATCACAGAGCCAGCCGGAATCATTTTTGGAAGTTGTATCTTCTCGTTCTCAAACCTTTACACTCCTTATTGGAATCGTTTATAAACATTTCTTTAATTTTGCCAATTTTGTCTTCACTAAATAGTACAGCTGGGTCTTTTAAAATAATGACAATTCGAGAACAGAAAGTGAAATATTAAATGAAAACAGTGCCACTGTTGCAGATGACAACAGGAAGACAGTGATCTAAAAATTTGCAAGTTTACAGAAAAATACGAGTGTATCTTTAATTTTAAAAAGTTTAACAGGTCAAAAATTAAAAATAACATGGTGAAGGCAATATAGTACAGAGAAGACAGGTAGTGACTCTGTAGCATTTTACTACGCTGATGGACAGTGACTGTAATGGGGTATGTGGTGGTGACTTGATAATGGGGGGAATTTAGTAACGACAATGTTCTCATGTAATTGTATATTAATGATACAAAAATAAAATAAAAAAACCCTCAAAGTATCTGGACAAAGCCAATTCATGCAAACAAAATCAGTGCATATAATACCCTTTTCCTACTCAATCCTAAGCCTTCAGAATAAAGTGAGATTATACCTGTAAGACACTTCTAACTTTTTGGTCATCAGTACCACTAAGTAGTTCTTCCCTACTGGCATCAGAGGAGTTACCTGTGAAATCCCAAGTACAAGGTGTACTCTGTCAGGACAAGGTTCTCTGTTACAAGGTTGTAGTTCTGGGGAAACTTTGGCTCCTGCACAGCTGGGATCAAACAGGTTTCTTTGTCCAAACCTAGAAGAAGTTAAAAGGAACAGTAAGCGGCTTGCCACAGACATCTTGGTCTCTCTCGTGTCTCCTTACTATAGTTCAGCTTCCACATTGCCGCCGGCCGTCTTGGTATTGTTCACATTTTCTCTAATCTAGCCCCAATGTTCTTCCTCTCCAGACTCATTTCCTGCCAGTTCTCACACCCCTTTCCCGACCTACCTCTTGCTCAGGTCACACTGAGCTTCTCAATATTCCTTCGTCAAGTCTTTTCACAGCTTTGCAACTGAACCTGTTATTCCTCTGCACAGAGGATTCCCTTGCTTCTTTGCCCGATAAACCCAACTCATCTTTCAAGACTCAGCTCTAAAGACCTCTGACTTCTGTGCAATGTATTATTCACTCTCTCCTCTGTGTTCCCATAGCATAGCCTTACCCCAAATTATAACTACTTGTTAATATACTTGCATTCTTCTGGAGAATGATCCAAAAAAGATAGTGACCACGCTTTATTCAGTTTAAAAAAGATAGAATGAATGAATACCCAACACTACCAAATTCTGAGACATCTCACTAAAGTACAACATCTAAAAGCTACCAGTTTTGTTAAGTCTTTCTTTTAAAAATTTCTAGTTCTTTCTGCCTCAGCTTGAGAAAGAGGAATCTTTGTGAAAAAGGACAAGTGAGTTGCCTTAGATGTTACACACACACACACACACACAGTTTTAAGAATTCCAGTTCCCCCTACCTCTCATGTGCACATTTTTTATTTTTCGTTCTTCATCATTCAGCTCCTTGAGGGCACAGTAAGTGGGATTAAAGGTGAGGAGCCGAGAGGATTTGGGTTTGCAAAATGGCTGGCAGAGCTTCAGGAGAGCAGCACCCAGATTCAGAAAGAAGGCATCCGAGGCATACATTTGGAAGAAGATTTCTGGCATCTGATTGGCCCAAATCTTGGTGCGGCCTGCATTTGCATGCAAACAGTTTCCAAGCCAGGACAAGATACAGTGTTTGGTTTCTGGAGAGAGCTGGAGTAAGTTCTTCAGCATCTGGTAGATCTTTTCATGGAACTGAGCCATGAACTGTTTGACCAGAAAACACAACCACAAACATTCCAGTTTCACAATCCTAATATTTGTTACTCCCAAACTTTAGCCATTGGCAATTTCCAAAAATATGCTAACTATAATGTTTCCCTTCACTCTCCCTATGGCTTATTCTTCAGTTCTGATTTAAAAAAAATTCTCATTCCTTAAGGGAGATTTCCTGATGAACTGCCAAGCTGCAGACGGCATTTACATAGCTTTAGGGTAGGGGTCAGTAGACTTTTGCTGCTGCAAAGGGCCAGATGATAAATATTTCAGCTTTGCCTGCCATATGGTCTCTGTAGCAACTATTCAGCTCTAACACTGTGGCATAAAATCAAGCCATAAATAACATACACGAATGGGCATGGTTATGTTCAATAAACTATTACCCAAACAGGTGGTGGCCTGGATTTGGCCACTGCTGCAATTTGCCAACCCCTGCTTTAGACAGTTGTGATGGGAGATTTAAACTGTCCCCAATTCAACCATTTCCTGCCTCATGTTGGCCTGACTTTTATTGTAATTTACGTTAACAAGCCCAAATAGAGAGGACATGGGTGGCAGGAGGGAAAGGAAAACAGCTGGGCTTACAAGCTGGAGTTCAGTCAGATTTTAGGAACTAAAGTCCTAAGTAGCTTGCTGAGAAAACAAGGGTCGAGGGGAAGCCGCTGTGCTGTGGCATAAGGCAAAGAACAGCAGCAGCTTATTGTTAACCACACAAAGGTTTACCCTCTGGTCTCAGCACATGCTAAAAAGAGGGCACTTTCTTTACATGAGTAGTGTAGAAAGCCAACCAGATCAATCTGCTTTCCCAAAGAGGCTCAAGTAGCCTTATCTGTATCTGCTTCTTGAGGAAACTATACTCTAAAATCAGACAGCTGGGCTACATAGGTAAACAGTTCCACCTGGTGGATGTTGGCCTCTTGTACTTTGATCTCCTGGGGACTGGAGCGAGATGGATTCAGGAAGTAGCCATGATTTTCTATTACACCAGGAGTCTTTAATAAGCAGGAGATATTCAGGATTACTCCTAGTAAGGTCTTCTGGTACATCTGCCCATTGCTTGAGTCCTTGGGTTGAATGTATTCCACAAAAACCTGTAGGAGAAGACAGGTCCTACTCACTCGTCTGTACGATGAAATAAAGGTGATGGAATGAGAGGGCCTCAAAGAGATAAGTCTATACAACAACCGATATATTTTCCTTTTATTCAACAGATAACATTACAGTGCCCTCAGGATAGGGAAGCACAAAGAATTAAATCTCCAGCTCAACTGAATGTATAACCACCATTCAGACCCACCTTTGCCATATCCTTTTGCCTAGTGAAATAGAGGAGAATATCCAGATACGCATACAACAGGATCTGGCAGAGTTCTAGGTCTTTTATTCGGCCCAACAAAATATCAAACACTGGGATCATGACTTCTGGAAATGTTCGAACTTCCTCGTCCAATACCAAGGCTTCAATGACCTCTTCCAGAAACTCAGCTACATCTTCAAAATCTAACAGAAAAAGAAAGAGAAAAAGAGGCCATAGGGATTTTTATGTGCCTTTATACATGGGCTCTTTACTCTTTTGATATCTTTGATAAGCCTACTGGTATCCAACCACAAAGATCAAGGTCTGAGCTCTCTTCTTTAATTTATATTGGAACTGTAGTGGCTCTGAGGCTTCTTAATGCAATTAGAGGAATTGTAAATTTGGAAAGCAAAATGCAGAAGCTCACAGATCTTGCTTCTGTACTCACGGGCTCCTTGGATGGCTTCCAACATCAAATCTACCAGCTGCTCATGGATGTTCTGACCAACATAGATCTCTGGGGTGAGGAGAACGGTTCGGGTATTAGACACAGTGAGGTTTCTGCACTGCACTGCAAAAGGTAGCAGGTTCTCTGGAACTTTGGTAATCTGGCAACAGCATAGAGAAGAGAGGGAAGGGTCTAACTCCATGACTTGGGTCAACAGAGAATATAGCAAACAGAATGGGTAAGACATTGTGTCCCGAAACAGGATTACTCTCCTATGGATGCTTCAAAATTCCTAAGAGTTCATTCTTTGGTTTAAGAAATCATCTACCTGTTAGAATTTTAATTCTGGAAGTGACCAAGCTTAGCCTATTTTATTATTTAGTGGAAATAAACTTATCAGATTTTTTTTTTAAGCATGTGAATTTTTAAGAGGTTTGTAGAAGAGAATAGGAGACACTGGTTAATTTGAGAAAGGGTTGGACCCCAAACGACAGAACGAGAGATTAAAACTTTAGAGGAAAAACTAATACTGTCTCTGATATCCAGTTATAGATAGAGTATGATATATATAAACTCATATCAAAGATACTGACCCAGCTTTCTGGCTTATATGTTAAAGATAACCTAGGAGGATAGTAAGTACTCAACAGGGACTATTTACCTCTTCCTTGGCTCTTTGGAAGCAGGAATAAAGGTAACAAAAAATGTGCCTCTCCCCTGCATCTCGATCAGCAGAGAGATTCAACGTTGTAGAAGATGTCATGTTAATCAAGTGGTTGCCTGGATCTTGAAGTAATAAGCGAGTGAAGACAGCCTAATAAAAAAAAAAATACTAAACCATTGCAAAGTTAATCTTAGAACACCAAGTGTGAAAATTAATTTTGACATAGGTTATTGTGAGAATCACAGGATGTACAGTGAAGGGGAAAAAGAAGACCCAGTGTCTTATTACTTGAGAAATATTATACTTACAAATGTAATTGTATATATAAAGTTATCCTAAATCTAGCTCAAGTGCCTAATATAGCCCCTGGCTCAAAGTATTAAAGAATATTTGTTGAATGATGTAGAGAATTTAGATGATTAAACTTTATGTGAAATTATTACTCTGTGTGATTGCTGACCTCACTCATACTTACATATAGATAAAGTTAAACTAAAGTTGTCAAGTGTCTTTTCTACCAAGCTTTCATTCCTTTAGTATTTTACCTATCAGGTAAAATAGACTGTTCTTATTTTGGAAAACATATTAAGAAAGAGATGGGCCTTGCCCTGGACAACTTAAGAGTCAAATAAGAGAGCTGAGACAGGTATATAAAAAGCCACTACGTGAGACAGAAAATGACAATTCCTTTTAGGCAGAGCTTTGTAAATAAGATGGCACTTTACTGGGTCTTAAAGGATGGACATGAGGCCATGGTAGATGAGAAGATTCCAAAAGAAGAAGGGACACCACAAGCAAAGTAGAGATGGAGGTAAACAAAGTCATAGTGAGGAAAGGTGAGCAGAGTTCAGCTTCATCGCCAATTTCTGCTGAAGGCACATAGAAGGAACGTTAAGTGGGTACCTGCTCAACGTTGCTCATATCAAGCCAGTCTTGATCTTCTAGGTCTACTGCCATTTCTTCCAAATACACACAACGGCTGGGGATGCCATTCCCACTTTTCAAGCTTGGGTCACCTGGGAAGTGGGTTTAATTTGGTAGATTAAGGATAATGCTTATGTTTTCTACAGACAACTGATTTTTGCAGCATTTCTTGAACTCCAAGTTTGACTCTGGTAATATCAGAATAATCTTTACACACAAAGCAATATCTAAAGATTTAAATCTTTGTTTTTCCTTTTCCCCAAAGAGCATGGGCTTTGTTAAAAAACCTAACATCATAACATTTAAAAAGGGAATCCCAGACATGAGCGCTAACTTTGGGGTTTAACCAGAGATAGGGCACAGGGGGGAAACCCTGCCTGACACCTCTTGGGGCTTCCATCTACATAGTTAGGTCACCTCTGAGAAGAAAAGGGACGTGGCTGCCATTCCCATTTTTCTTTTAAGGTAGGAAAGGCAAGCAGCTCTACGGCCCAGTAAGAAGCACAATGGGAAGGGAAGTTGTACCTGCATTTAAATACTGTTTCCAGATCACATCAAATGCTTCACTGAAATATAAACCCTGTGTTCCAGGGAGTACAGTGCGTTTGCTTAAGCATTAGACGCAGCAAGAGCGAGTCCCTACCCCCAGCAGGAAGGCAGGGTAATGAACAGACTGGCTGTAAGTCTGGAACTCACTGTTGTCCAGAGTAATGAGGAAGATCCTTTGGATCATGTGATTGATGTTGAGTTGCTCACATATTTCCTGCTGTGAGCGGAATGAGCGGCTAATCTCTGCCACGGAGTAATCAAATTCATCCAGGCTCTCTGACACACTATTATCCGAGTCATCCGGGCTAGCTGGGAGTTCATCTGCCAGAAAAAGCAAGCCATTGAGTTTACATTCGTCTCTTTAAAAGACAATCAAGTACACTACCAAAAATGATAAATGTAACCTAACCAAGAGAAGGGATAATTTTGGAAGTGAAATAAACTAATCATCTAATCAGAGAACATTCAAGTCAGGCAACTTTTTTTTTGAGGTACAATCGACTGATAACATATTAGTTTCAGGAGTACCACATAATTATTTGATATCTGTATATGATCACAATAAGTGTAGTTAATATCCATCACCATAGAGAGTCACAAAAATTTTTTTCTTGTGATAAGAACTTCTAAGATCTACTTTTTTAGCAGCTTTCAAATATGCAATACAGTGTTATTACTATAATCACCATGCTGTTCCTTACATTCCGATGACTTACTTATTTTGTAACTGGAAGTTTGTACCTTTTGGCCCCCTTCACTCGTTTCCCCCACCCACTGCCACCACCTCTGGCAATCACCAGTCTCTTCTCTGTATCCCTGAGCTTGTGGGTTTATTTTTTTAAGACTTCACATATAAGTGAGATCATACAGTATATTTCTTCATCTCACTTATTTAACTTAGCATAATGCCCTGCCCTCAAGGTCCAACCATACTGTCACAAATGGCAAGATTTCATTCTTTTTTATGGCTGAGTAATATTCCATTGTGTCTGTGTCACATTTTCTTAATCCATTCACCCTCTGATGGACACTTAGGTTGCTTCCATATCTTGGCTATGAACACTGTCCATACCATATGCTGCAGTGACCATAGGGATGCAGGTATCTTTTTGAGTTAGTGTCTTAGTTTCCTTTGGATACCCAGAAGCGGAATTGCTGGATCATACGGTAATTCTATTTTTAATATTTTGAGGAACCTCCACACTATTTTCCACAATGGCTTCACCAATTTAAAATTCCACCAACAGTGCACAAGAGTTCCTTTTTCTCTACATCCTCAACAACTTGTTATTTCTTGTCTTTTTGGTTCTAACAGGTGTGGGATGATATGTTGCTGTGGCTTTGATTTGCATTTCCCTGATGATTAGTGATGTGGAGCACCATTTGTGCACCTGTTGGCCACATGCACGTTTTCTTTGGAAAAATGCTATTCATTTTTTGCTATTCAACATCTTAAATACAGGATTTCAAAATCTTTGGCTATAAATTCTATCACATCTTATAAACCATAAGTTTTATTTTGTCAGAAGCAGCAATACTATTTTCTCTATGGAATCCTAGTGAACAAAAAATTATCTAATTATCTAATAGTTCAATATGCCTTTAATTATTTTAAGCATATGGCTTTTTCCTGATTTTAAGAGAACACATTTGTTTTACTAATTCCAAACTGTACCGGAAAATATAATACACAAAGTCTCTTCTGAACCAGTTCCCTATATCACCATGATGGACAGTGATTTAACTTAGCAAAAGTGTTCCAGATTTCTTTCCTATTCTGGTGCTAAATGTTTACTGCTATAATTTTTTGTTAAAAAAAAAAAAGGGATCACTCTGTATCTGTATTTATATCCATACCACTTTGACCTTGCTTTTTAAACTTAAATCAGCAGCAGCCCCTTTCTCTGTTACGTCATTTACCGGCCTATCTCATTCTTTTCAACGGCTTCATAGGACTGCATTGTTTGCTCACAGTGATTTACGCAGCTGCTTTTCAAGTGAAGAACATTTGGATTGTTTCCAATTCTTCAAGATTTCACACAATATTGCACTAAATATAATTTAATTCTTTTTGTGTCCTTGTATGAGTATTTCTGTAGGATGAATATGTAGAATTGCTGGGTTAAAGAGCTTGAACATTTAAATGTTCACATACACTACCTAATTACCCTCAGAAGACTGCTCTACTTTTCATGGCCACCAACAATGTATGAGGGAGTGCCTGTTTACATCTTCACAAATTTCCCAAGTTAAAAATGATCTAATTGTTTTAATGGCCATTTACCAAATAGTAAGACTGGATTTTTTTTAGTCATTTGATTATTATGTATAAATTGCTTTTTCCCATCTTCTGTTCTTTTTTTTCCTCTCTAGTTTGTTATTTTTTTCTTATTGCTTGAATCCCTTTACTTTTTTATAAAACAACTTAGGAGTGCCTCCCAGAGCAGCACTCGTGCTGAATGACTACAAACTAGAAGCCACATGAGTCTGTCTCTGCTTTCCTCTCCTGACACAATGGTTATTCTAAAAGTCTAGGCAAAACTCTCAGAAGTAATAGTTACTCTAGTGCGGTGAGGTTAGTCAGTAAAGCTCAATACAGGAGGCCAAAGGTTTTGGCAGAGTACTAACTGTTGGGGGAAAACAGGTTAGACCTGGCGGCATGATAAACTCAGGGTAAACAAACTAAGATGATGAGTGCCAAAATAGTAACAGAAGGGCATGTACCTGGTCTGTCCCCAATGTCTGGTGCCTGCAATGCTCCCAACTCCAGCCAGCCTTCTGTCTGTTTACAGCCAGAAGGACAGTGTTCTGGCACTCTACTCCTCACTGTACTGACTCCAAGAATGACAGGAAGTATTTAGCAAAATTTCTCTTAACCACATATTCATAAATTGTATTTTTCATTTCCCTTTTGTCCCCTCTATTCCTCACCCTCCTTTCTCTCTTACAGTCTCCTAATCCAAGGTTTCCCACTCCGAGCCAGTATTTTAGAAGTCTGGGAGATTTCAGACCCAGAGCCGCCTTTCTATCATGTGAAAAAGCCAGCATTACATTTATTTCTCCCTTGTGTCACCCATCACCCTCTGTCACTACTCATCTGTTTTACCCTTACCTCCTTTTTATTCAATCCTAATTAGAAAGCAAGGCCACAACGCAGCTATGCATCTGAACACTTTTGAAATAAAACAAAATAAAGGGATAATATAAACATTCTCCTTTCCTAAAAACAAAAAACACTGTTACTTTTAGAGGGAAGAGACTGGGAGCAATTTCTGACTTGAGGTAACATTCTCAGAAGACTAATAAGTTTGAGAAACATCATCTTAATTCTTCTAGAATTGTGTCTCCTTACAGGACAAAGGTAGACTTAATTTTGGTGCCAGTTAAGGAAAACCCTTTTATTAGTGAGATATTATTTTGCTTTTTTTCACATTAAGGCTAAGGAACAGATTTTCTGAGAAGTCTGTTCTAATAGTAGTAAGCTATAAAAGTGGCCCCTCTATGGAACGGATGAAGCATTTTGCTTGACATAGACTCTGAAACACTGGGCTTAAGAACAAATCTCATTCATTTGCCCATGAACCAAAAAGCTTTTTAAAAGTCTTCTTTTCACATATCTGCTTTCTATAGCTGCATATGACTTACCTTCCATACCTACGCCTATAACCTCAGTTTCCCAGGTTAAAAAAGATTAGAATATATTTTACTAGGTGATTTAAAAAATAAATAAAATGGCTTGACAGCTTTGGGACCATGACTGTTATCTGTTACTACAGAACCGCCTGGTCTCTTTTATGCAGAGGAGAGGACAGGGAGGAGAGGACCCCAAAACAAAACAAACAACAAAGACGAACAGAAAAACAACCTCTGCCCCAAATTTAAATTCCAAATGCAATCAAGGACCCAAAGAATACTTAATCTGGGAAGACCCCATTCTAGGTCATCTCATCTGCTGCTGTTGGCAACTCCACTTACCAGATTGCTGCTTCAGCTGCTCTTTTTGGATTGCTGCAAACTGCTTGGCATCAGCCAGGGAGCCAAAAAGAGCAGCAAAGGGGTTACTTGAGATGTTGTTGTTATTCTCCTGGTCTGTCATTTCACTTTAACGTATCCTCCATCCAGACCTAGGGGCAGGGGCTACAGAACGGACAGGTATTAGAGACAGAAGGGCAGATAACACAGTTGTAAAATACCCATGGTTTCTTTTCTCATTTCTCAAGTGTAATACATTTTAAAAGGCTTTGAGTAAGACCTTCCTATTCCAAGATACAAAACATATTTGGCAAAATGGTTAGAAACCTACCAGCTGGACAAGCTGGCCTGATTTGGGGGTAGCTAAAACCAAAAGGCTTAAAAAATGTTCAGTTGGAATCCATTTATGGTTGACATGTTTCTGTTTGCTATACCTTTAAAAAATAGGTTAAATAGAAAGAAGTACTGAAGTTACAGAGGGAACTCATCTACTAACCGTAGCAACAATGTGGCACTTAACACAAAAAGAACTCGAATTTCCCATAAATCTCTGGCTGACTAATTCTCACACACCATAAGCATAAGATGGCACTTGTTCAGGCTTCTATGACTTAGAGGTGGAGCTGGGAATTCCTCAGATACATAAAATCTAAATGTAAGCCTGTATCTCAGACATAGAACGGCAAATCAGGACAGGGACCAGATTAGCATCATGTTGTGGGTTTTAAATATACATATTAAACAATCTGCATCTACTGCTGGGCTTCTGACTACTGATATTTCTTCCATTAAAAACTAAATGATCTTTGATTAATTCTATATTTAACTTTCACCATTTATCTGATTTTTTACCACATGGAAGAAACACACAATTTCCTAATGTGTAATATGAAACAGATACACCTCAAGGGTATTTAGCGGAGCTGGCTGAGCCTGCATGTGTACTGTTCTGATTACATGTCCTCATTCAAGCACCAAAGGGGACTCGGCCGCACAGTGGGATGAGCAGAGATCCCTGAAAGGCTTTCTTCCCTTTTCGAAATTCTAAGATAACAGACTAGAAATACAACCCTGAAAAGGGTGGGAAGAGACAAAGGGTATGAATACTTACGAGGATGCTGAGCTGCAGCAAGGGCAGAGGCCTTAGTGGGAATAGAGGCAGGGTACAAGGGAAGGAGGAGAAAAGACCATTCAGCCTACCTTTAATTTACCGAGGTAAGACACCTCACAGAATCATGTTAACAGCCAACGCAAGTCAGAAAAGTTACCCTTGTTTCCTGGAGGAAGAGAGACTACACTACGTCTTGACAATTCTGAGGCATCTTCACCAGTTGCTTCCTGCTCCTCTGTCACGTTTCCGCGTAAGAGCTAATGGCTAAACAGCTATAGCGACTTAGGCAGACAGTCTAGTCTCCACTCAGCATGGTGCTGGGCTTTACTGCTTCAACAACTGAACTGTTAGATGTTACTCTATGTATTTTTTTTTTTTGCTATGTATAGTCTAGTTGATCTTAATAATGAAAAAAAGATAGCATATTTCATGTTGGAATTAACAACAATCCTGGAGAGGATTTTTTGCCCATTTATACACTGCATAAGCCTAATTATTACCCTTAATTCATGTAGAGGCATCAAGAATTGTGTCATTGTTGGCTGACTGCCACCCGACCTCTACTGTAAGGTACCTTGAAGTCTAGAGGAATGCAAAAAGTTTAGTGAGCTCTTGTTATTTTCTGTCTCCAAAACATGCTCTTTTTTCAAGATGACATCCCACACTTCCCTGTGGGGATCCACTCCATTCCCAGTCCATGTATTTAGAAGGGGATGACATCACCCACTAGCTCCAGGAATGGGCATGTGAAACTAACCTGGCCAAAAAGAAAAGAGCATTCTCTGGCCAAAGCGACTGATTCAAGAGTGGGCACAAGACCCGAGCAAAACCTATGAGAATTAATGAACACCAATTTCAGGCCTTTGGCTACATCTACAGAAATAAGGAACTTTTTTTTTCCTGCTTGGGTTGTTAGGTTAGTAACATATAAACCTGGAGTTGCCCTCTTTCCACCACCTAAAAAAGGCCTAGCTTAAAACTAAGTCAACATATAGGAAAAGAGAGTTGAGATGAAAAGAGAAACTCTTTTTCGGTTATAAAAAAGCCAATAGATTCTCCTATTTTGTGTAAGCCAGTTCTAAAGAGTTTTTACAAACAACTAGAGAGTTCAGATCCGTACCAAGGACCAGCACCACCCACGCAGAAAGGAAGTAAACTGAAAGCCAGGGATAAAGAATGTATGACAGAAACAGGCCCTTAAGGCTATCAAGAGAGATAAAGAAGATTTATAGTCATAAATGGCATTATTTCTTCCTTTCTCAATACTAGACCATCACAGTATAGAAAGAAGCTAGCCTCCCATTACATTTCACTGATATTAACAGGATTCACAACTTTCTACCCTGAACTCCTCATACAGATATTCTACCTCATTAGATGGTAAGCCATTCAATCACAGATGCGTATCTGATTGTTGTTTTCTTGGGTGTCTGGCATTATATATCACAATCACAAAATCCCAAATAAAATATTTGTGAGATGACTTAGTTGGACATTACCCCTGACCTCCTTGTAATCAACAGCAGCACCCACAATCCTACTTCAAGCTAAGGGCTTTACTATTTGCCTTGGGTTACAGTGCCAGGTCAAGCTACAAGGCCAGGCACTTGTGGCTCTTTGGTATCTCCACAGGTATAGAATGGAGACTGGAAATAAATCCGCTGCCATCTGCCCTTTTGAAAAAAAAAAAGAAAAATGCTTTGCCTACCTCCCTAAGCTCATCTTTTTTGTATATACTTCAAACTGTGCACAAATTATTTCATAGAAAAAAGGGCTAACACTGTGTAACCACTTGCAGAAAAGGTTTACAGGAAAAGGGAGGTCTGATCACTTGATGGGAACCTTTGTGGAGATGTCAGTTTAGATTTGTTCCATGGTCTCACACCTGTAAAAAGAGTACCTAGATAATCACACACTCCAAAAGGTCTGACAAAACAGAACCGTGATATTTTGTTTAATATTCAATGCCACCAGGAATTTATAATCTCCTGTTTTCGCCTGCTATACAGATACAGCACTGTCCTTTTGTTGGCCTTGGGATGGCACAACCAACAATGCTTAGAAGCTTTGTTTTTTTTTTAAATTACGTCCTCCTTAAAAACACGTTTCAATCTGATACACTCCTTGCAAGGATTCTACATCTGTAATAGCTATCTACCTCCTGCCCTACAAAATCCTCTCACCCTCTCCTGATTCAGTCTTTTGTTTATGAACAGTCTGCTAATCCCTTCAGCGCCATTTTCAGCTTTTAAAGAGCTGAGCACACAAATGTTTTAACGTCAGCTGTTGGAATACTTTTAAACAGGGATTGTCAAAATCGAGCCCTGTGAAATATTCTGCACGGTCACTGTCCTGGTGAGCAATACATACATCAAACCAAAAAAAGGAATTTTAAAACATGTTTTTGTTGTTTTATGTTCTCAATAAACGTTTCAGGCCCCTCTAACGTGGCAACAGATGGTTCCAACACATCAGCAAGCTAGAAGGATCTCGTCAGGTGAAAAAGCAGACAGCATTCTTTCCCTGCTCCCACATTATCTTAGGAGGGCTCCCGTGTGAGACCCAACCAGTCCATGGCAGTGAGACTAAACACATCCTTGCTTTGGGAGTAAAAAACTGATCCCAAAGAGGAGACCCATCAAATATAATCCTGAGCGCTGGTTACTCAACTGAAGTGTCTTCTAAACCCAACTGCTGTGGGAGCATGAAGCGTAATGTCAGGAGAGTTTTGGGTGGTGAACTGATCACCTGCCTTAAATGTCAACACCTTGCCATTTAAGTTTCATTACTGCAACTCGCTTAACTGTATCTTTGGCATCCGGCTACCTGTTGTCTCCCCTTTATAATCCCTCCAGGTTCTATACGGGATTCGCGGCAAATAGGGAGACCCACCCACTTGGCGCATGTTCTAGAGAAAGGAAGTCAAAGATATTGCAAGGCCAGTACTTCGGCCCTTTCTAGAAAGGGAACGGCAAAGAGGGGCAGGGATGCCAGAACTGGGGCACAGTAAGGGGTTCCCAAATCAGACAGGGTCGAAGTTCCCGAAGGGGAGGGCCAGTGGTCAGGGAAGCACGTAAGTAAACTGCGAGAGGGAACAGTGCCAAGGCCTGGACAGGCATTCGACTAGGAAAAAAAATCTCGTCGCGGACTCGACGATCCCCACCCTCAAGCTATTTCCTTTCTTACCGGAGCCAGAAGGTCCAGCAGCGACGGCGACAGAGTCTCAGTGGCCCGAGAGGATGCCACTTCCGACACAGCACCGCAACCGGAGCTTTCGTCATGACTAGGCGCCGGGCCTTGTGGAGTTTCTGCCCGGCGCCGGAAACGGGGTTTGCTGCCCCGCGCGGAGAACTGGTGCGCAAACACCCCCACGGCGCACGCGCCAGCCTTCCAGGGCGGGGCGGAAGTGGTCTTGGGATCCGGTTGGTGGGTGGGGTGGGATGAGTCGAGGGCGGGGCTGTTTGGGGGCGGGTTTATAGGCTGAATGTAGCTTCGTGATCTCTGGCCCAGCTGTCAACCACTGTAGGCTTGTGCTTTTTATTTTTCCCGTACTTTCTTCTGAAGCAGCTTTTGTGGCTGTTTAGAGCTTGTTACTGTGTATGAAGCAACAGCAGCACTAAGGCAGTAACAGTAACATAGTTTTGAGGCCTTACTAGATGCCAGGCAGCGTGCTAAACTATGCTATCTCGAATTGGATTTCAGTTGTCTTTTATTTGTAAAGCGGGACAATATGCATCCTACAGGGTTACTTTGCCGTACTCAAAGGCAACAAAAACGGCATACTTTTTGAGAGTTTAAATAAAAAGATAATTCATAGAATGAGAGAAAATATTTACAAATCATGTATCTGATAAAGGAGTAATATCCAGAATATATAAAGAACGTCTACAACTCAACAACAAAAACAAAGGATGGATTTAAAACATGGGCAATGGACCTGACTAGACATTTCTCCAAAGAAGATACACGAACGGAAGACTAATCGTTAGGAAAATGAAAAGCTATACCACAATGTGATACCACCTCCCACTCAGGAAGTCTATTATAAAAAAAAAAAAAAAAAAAGGAAAATAAATGTTGAGAATGAGAAATAGGAATCCTTGTGCATTCCAGACCAGCACTTGGGAGAAGCTAGTGGTTCCTCAAAAAGTTAAACGTAGAATTACCATGTGATGCACAACTCCGCTTCTGGTTATATACCCAGAAGAAAGCAGGGTCTACTCAAACTGATTTTTGTATACCAATGTTTACAGTAATATTATGCATAATAACCAAAGGTAGAAACAACCCAAAATGTCCATCAACAGATGAATGAACAAAATGTGGTATATACTTAAAACTGACTATCATTGAGCCTTAAAAAGGCTTCAGTTCTGATGCATGCTGCAACACGGATGAAACTTGAAAATATTATGCTAAATGAAATAAGCCAGACAGAAAAGGACAAATATTGTGTGATTCTATTTATGTGTGGTACTTAAGGAGTAGGAAAATTCATAGGGACAGAAAAGTAGAATAGAGGTTACCAGGGGCTGGGGAAGAGAGGCATAGGGAGTTACTGTTTAATAGGTAAGGAGTTTAGGGTAATGAAAATGTTTTGAAACTGATAGTGGTGATGGTTGCACAACATTGTGAATGTACTTAATGCCACTGAATAGAACACTTAAAAATAGTTAAAATGGTAAACTGTATATTATGCATATTTTACCCCCATCCCCCCACATGCAAAATACTGTGCCATCTCTGATTGCCTATCTTGTTCCAATATTATTCCAGTTCCCAAAGATACTGTAGGGAAATAACACACGTCTTTTCCTTCCTGGAGTTTACAATCTGGTGAGAGTAGAAGAGTAACATAGCATTTAAAGTCAATGAACACAAGATGGATCATTCAAAAAATAGTTCTGGCATAACTGGGTAGCTATGTAGTTTAAAAGTTAGTCAAAATGTTAGGTCTTCATCCTAAAACTAACTCAAGATGGATCAAAGATTTAAGTGTATAAAATGAAATGCTAGAGGGACTCATGTGAGAACTTTTTAAAAGAATTATCTTAAAATGGGGAAGACCTTTCTAAATATGCAACAACCTAGAAGCCAGTAAAGACCAATAAAGTCTACAATGTGGAAATATTTGTCAAAAGTGCATAGAAAAACAACCACAAGTAAAAACAAATAACAAAATTGGAAAAATATTCACAACTAATATCAAACAAAAATCTAGTTCCCCTAATATATAAAGGGTTGTTACAAGTCAATAAGAAAAAAGATAAAAAGATATGAACCTGTATTTCATGAAAAAGGAAAATAAGTGGCTCACTCATTTTTAATAAGAAAAATGCAAATTAAAATGAAAGTGAGATTGCATTTTTAACTTATCAAATTGGCTAAGTACAAGAAGTTTAATAGTACACTGCTGGAACTTGTGTGGAGTAATAGGTACTCTCATTTATTATAATTGGGAGTATCCATTGGCCCAATTGTACTGTGGAAGTGCAATTTGCTAATATTTAGTAAAATTACAAGGGCAAATACATTATGGCCCAGCAATTCCATTTATTTGTATTTGTTACAAGTAGTCTTAAGCATGTTGAAGATGACATTTGTTAGAAATAAAACAATGAAAATTTAAAAACTAAAAAGAAGACATAGGAGTCTTTGTGACCTTGGGTTTGGCAAAGATTTCATAGACATGACACCAAAAGCACAATCCAAAAAATAAAAAGTGGATGAAATGGAATTCATTAAAATTTAAAACTTCAGCGCTTCAAAGGACAGCACTAAGAAAATGAAAAGACAAGCCACAGACTAGTAGATATATTGCAAAGGACTTGTATCCAAAATACGTAACAACTCTTACAACTCAGCAGTAAGAACACAAAAACCCGATTAAAAAACAAGCAAACAAGATTTGAATAGACATTTCACTAAAGATACAAGAATGCTTAATAAACACATGGAAAGATGCTCCACATCATTAGTCACTAGGCAAACACAAATTAAAGTCACTATAAGGTATCATTTTATATCTAGTAAAATGGCTACACTAAAAAAAGATAGTAACAAATGTTGGTGAGAATGTGGAGAAATGGTAATCCTTATCCATTGCTGGTGAGAATGCAAAATGGAACAGCTGGTTTGGAAAGGAGGAAGTTTGTTAAAAACTTAAAAATAAATTCACCATACAACCCAGCAATTCTTTACTCCTGGGTATCAATCCCAGAGAAATGAAAATGTGTGTCAACACAAAGACTTGGATAAACATAAAATAGGTATAATTAGTGGTTGCCTGGGGCTGAGGGTGGCAACAGGGAATGACTTCAAACAGCAACAGGGGTCTCAAGAGAGTGATGGAAATGTTCTAAACCTGGGTTATGATGATGGCTGTACAACTGGGTAAATTTGCCAAAAATTACTGAGAACAGGTGAAATCACTTAAAATGAGTGAATGTAAATTACACCTCAATACATTTTTCAAAATGACATTTATACAATGCTAGTCATTGCAGCATTGTTAGAGCAGAAGATTGGAACCAACTTAAATGGCCATCACAGAAGACTGGTTAAATAAATTATTGTGTATCTGTAAAATACGGCTGCATTAAAAAAGAAGGAGCTTCTTTATATTCTGGTATGCAATATTATGGTTTCATTAGGTGAAATGTGCAAGATTTATAGTATGATGCCATTTGTGTGAAAAACAGGGGAAGGAAGAATGCATGTACTTTAGAGTTTGCTTATGTATGTGTAGAATACTTCTGATATGTGATACCTTATATACCTTTTTTATTGAAGTATCATTGATATACAATCTTATATTGGTTTCAAGTATACATCACAGTGGTTCAACAGTTCCCCATATTATTAAATACTCACCCCCACTAGTGCAGTTTCTATCAACACAGGAAGATGTTACAGAATTATTGGCTGTATTCTCCATCCTGTACTACCATCCCTGTGACCAACTTATAGTATGAATGAGAATTTTTGTGCCCCTTTATCCCCCTCCCTTTCCCTCCCACCCACCCCAACCCTTAACCACCAATCACTTCTCAGTGTTTATGATCTACTGCTGTTTTGTTCATTTTGTTTTGTTTTACTTTTTAGATTTCACAAATAAGTGAGATTATACGGCATTTGTCTTTCTCCACCTGGCTTATGTCACTTAGAATAATACTCTCTAGATCCATCCATGTTGTAATTGGCAGGATTTCTGTTTTTTTTTAATGGCTGAATAATATTTCATTGTGTGTATGTAATACATCTTTATCCATTCACCTATTGATGGACACTTAGGTTGCTTCCATAACTTGGCTGTTGTAAATAATGCAGTGATAAACATGAGGGTGCCATATGTCTTTTCGAACTGGATTTTTTTGGGTATACTGGATTTCCTTTGGATATACTCCTAGAAGTGGAATTACTGGGTCTCCCGTATATATTTTATACAGATAAACAAGAAACTACTATGTTTTTTGCCTGTGGAGAGGGCAACTGGGTGGCTGAGGATGGAGACAGAGGGAGACCACCCACTGCATATTTGAACCATGTAAATTATGACCTACACAAAAGGTAAATAAAAATTTAAACTTAAATTATATTCAAATAGAGGGATTATTAGACATTTTCATTTTTCTTTTACAGAAAATTACCTCCCAATAGGTGGCGCTCCTGAAACACCATACATGTTTTGTTTTGCTTTGATTTTATTTTGAGAAAGACTCACATTTCCTCTGATGGATTTTATTCTCCGTTTGTCACTTCCGGAAGCCGTGAGTCTAGATTTAAGACTGAAAGTGTCTCTGCTAGGAGTGCTCCAAAATGCATTGTCTTGTTTCTGAGAACTGGATAGAAGGGGAACACCTGGACTGAAAGAAGAAAAATTACAATTGATTTAAATAATGCTTGGGCCGTTGTTTCCCTGATGGAAACTTCTGACTGACTGATTAACTGAAAGGTCAATATGGATTAGTGGTTCTTAACAAAGGGAGATTTTGCCCCTGCAGGGACACTTGGAATATCTGGAGATATTTTTGGTTATCACACTGGGTACTACTAGCATCTGGTGGACAGAGGCCAGGAATGCTGCCGAAAACCTTACAATGCTCAGGACAGTCCCCTCATCACAAAGATCGCCTACTCCCCACCCCCACCCCCCATCATTATGGTTGCCTAGGGAAAGGAGACTTGGAAGCAGCCGGGAGGGCAGTTTTTGCAGAAGCACTTTCTTAAAATTGGAGTAGAAGGACACACCTACTCTTGAGTCCTGAGCTCAATTCTTCTTCAATTGGTTTCCTTGAAGGTGGCTGTATGGGTCATCTTCCCGGTCCTTGAGGGGCTAAAAAGGACAGCACAGTGATAAGCTTGTTTTACCTCATCCTCTATGAATAAATTTGATGCATGTTTATTGAATGCTTTTTATGTGCAAGGCTTCAGAGTGGGTGCCTCATGGCCCTGGAGGCGGAAAGAGGACCAGGAGATGGAGGCTCCGTAGTCTCTTTGTGTGTGTTTCCTGTTCCTCTCAGTGTGATCTTCAACTTTTTCTCACTAGATCGCAACCTCAGTTTCTCTCAGTCCTTCTCTTTATTTCATCCATTCTACCCAAAGGGATAATAATCTTGCCATCACCTGGTAAGCCTTAAGCAGTTCCTTATCTGTATAATGTCTTCCAAATAACTCGCTTTCCTCTGCTCATCCCAAAATTTTACCACCACTGATTGTAGCAATGTCTCCTTCATCCCTAAATCCCTTACCTGGTAGAGCTGGTCATTGGACAGCAGAGTCTGCTTGTCTGAAGCTGCATAAAAAATAAACAATATACACACATACACAAGGTAGAAAAGATAATAAATTGGGTTATATTCACACAGTCAACTACTAACTAGCAATAAGAATTAGTGAAATTAACCCACATACAACAATATAGATAGATCTCCCAAGCATATCGATGAGTGAAAGTCACACACAAAAGTGTTTTCTGTGTAAGTTCATGGACATAAGGAGCAAAGCAGGCAAAATTAATCTGTTTTATCAGATGTCAGGATCGTGCTTACATTTGCGGATAGGTGGAGGCTGAAAGCGACCACAAGGGGGACCTCTAAGGTGTTGATAATACGCTCCTTCTTAAACCAGGTGCTGGATTCAGGGTGTGTTTGCTTTGTTGAAAAAAACTTTTTTTTTTATCTGTATGCTTGAGATTCATATACTTTTCTATATGTGGGTTTTACTTCAGTGAAGAGTTTAAAAAAAAACACAGAGGCTAATCAGAAGGAGTTGGATCTTGAGAGGCGCTATGGAAACACCAAGTATCCTTTTCTCCTGCTAACAGAGACAGATCCTCACCCAAGCGTGCTTCTTAGCAATGTGTGCCTATTCAGACTCTTTCAGTGGGTCTATTTTGGTAGGAAGGACGCTGAGGGTCCCCGGTGGTCTCATCTCTCATCTAAGAATATTACTTTACCTCTTGACTGGTGACCTCCATCCTGTCCAGCAATGAAGTAAACCCCAACAGCAAGGAATAAAATGCTGATGATTTCAGCGAAGACAAAGCCGGATACAGTGGCTGCACTCAGCTCAATGCAGTTCTGGCACACTGTGGGAAAAGGGGGGGACAGGTCTCTTTCAGGCTGTGAAAGTGGGTCTCCTGAGTCTTTCTCAGTGAGAAAGTGCCTCTGTCTAGGGTGGCAGACTCTTCTCTCTGTGGGAATTACCTGGGAAGACCCTTGGACAAAGAACCCAGTGGAGCTTCCCGATGTTCCTCCATCCCCCTGGAGTCTTGGAGAAGCCCAGGCAGTCTTTCTACCAAGAACTATGTGAAACAGAAGGAAGACCAGATGTCCTTTTCTTGCCCAACTACCTTCCAATTTCACTGCTGTTCACCTTGTAATCTCTCATCTCCCCTACTTCCCTTGACTCAGTGTATATAAGTTGCTGACTGCTTCAATCCAGGGGGCCCACCCAAAGGTAAACCAGGCTCTACAAACTGGCTGTGCTTATTTCAAGGAGCTCGGGAAACTGTCTTGTTATATTAAAAAAGAGGCAAACCGAGATTAGGAGAAGTGGCTCTTATATCACTGCTTAGCGTGTATTTCCACGCTCACCTACGACAGGAAGCTCACCGGAACAGCAAGTATTACCTAATTGCACAGAAGCAAACCAAAGGAGATCACATACTTCTATAATACACTTGGAGTGGTTTGGAACGGTCCTTTGGTCCTTTACACCAGTACATCCCTTGAGGGTCCTTGGCACTGCTTCCCAGATTCCATGTGCTTTTACTTGTATTTAGGGAACTTATTTCCTTCCCATCTTTAAACCAACTGATTTTTTGGTCTTTCAAGCCACAAGTCAGAAGTACAGAACCATCTTCTCGATTGTCATCCACTATTACCAGTTTTTCTCCTGGAGAGGGAAAAACCGTGGTCTGGTAAGAATTTGCCTCTGAAATTCAAGATCCATTCTAGCAGGGCTTCTCAAACCTTAATGTACTTATGAATCACATGAGGATCCAGGTAGAATTTTACGTCTGTTCAGCAGTTGTGGGAGGGGCTGGGAGTCCACATTTCTAACATGCTTCTGGGTGGTGGTATTACTATTGGTTCATGGGTTGCACTTTGAGTTGTGCCTAGCTGCTAGGGTCCTGTTTCTCCTCCAAGAACCAGAGAATTAATTGCTTAGCTACAGGGAAGCTGCCCAGAAAGGTTATGACTGGCCACTGTCTCGGCTGACAGCAGAGAGGTTTGCTAACTATCATCAACCTATATCCCTTCTAAGCTATTTACTCAGTTTTATAGATGACTGCTTAGGAAGCCATATTTCCATAAACTTTCTCAGAATTTGAGGGTAGAAACCATTTCTCTTACCTTTCAACTGGGCCATAGTACCTGTAGAGACAGAAGAGAGACAGAGGATCAGCTGGGTATAGAATTGTACACATGCCCTGAAGTATCATTTCCATGGTCAGCTGAGGCCAACAAGGAGAGTGACAGTATCTATACCTGAATTGTAGCCTAAATCACCAAACTGAATTCAGGGTGTCATATAATAAATAATTTCTCTGGTCTTTGCTCTGGGTTCCCAGGAGGGAACTTCTAAATGCTTGGCATGTCTTGAGTGACTGTCTTTGTTATTCTTGGTGAGGGCTGGTCGAGACCCACCATGCGATTAGAGAATTGGGACTTTGAGCCCTGGGAGGAGAAGGAGGCTGGAGACTTGAGTTCAGTCAAAAGTGGCCAATGATTCAATCAATTATGGCTATGGCTATGTAATGAAATCCCAGTAAAAACTCAGTGCAGCTTCCTGGTGGGTGAACACGTCGAGGTTCCAGGAGGGAGATGTATTCTGATTCCACAGGGAAAGTGCACAGAGACTCTGTGTTTAGGACCTCCTCGACCTCACCCTATGCACTGCTTCATTTGGCTAGTCCTAATTTTATTTTTTATAATAAAACTGTAATGTTAAGTGTAGAAGCTATCTAAGCTGATAGCGGTAGAACCTATCAATTTTGCTCAATTGTGAGAGACAGGGAAAGCTTAACAGTGAGGGTGACATTTGGCTGGGCCCTGAAGAATAAGTAGGAATTCACCAGACAGAGAAAGGTATTCTGGGGAGAAAGAATAGCTGAGCAAAGAGACCGGCTTGGAAAAGGACGAGAGGTAGTGTAGCTGCAGGTAGAGCGCATGATGGGAAGAGATGGGGTATGAATCAAAATACTATGGAAATAGTTGGAAGGAATCCACTGTCTTAGAACTTCATGCAGGGCTGAATTGTATCAATAGTACCCAGCACAGTGCCTAGATCATGATAGGAGCTTTATATTTATTGAATGACTGCATAAATGAATAAATCAATGAATGAATGGAAAAAGAAGCAAAATAAATAGTTAAGATTTCTCACTAGCCTTCCTCCTTGACCACCTTGTCTCCATGGGAAAGACAAAAAGGTCCTTCGTTTGAACTCCGATTCCATAGAAGAGAGGGTCCAACTGATTTTGCTTATCTGAGACCTATTTCCTTTTAGGACTTAAGAACTGATGAAACCAAATTTCCCAGGTTGACTGGTGAGAGAACTGAGCCCAGAGGAAGGGGTCCAGGTTCACACAGCTCATTGGTGGCTGAGCTGGACCCAGAACTCAGTGTCCTTTGCTCAGGCCAGTGACCTTTCTGCTACACTGAGCTGCCGCACACAGGCTTTCAGCACTGCTCAACCTCTACTGTCTTTAGCTGGCTATTCTTCTGTTCCCTTCAGAAACTCACTGTGCTCTTCAAGTCCCTTGCTCAACCATCACCTGGCTCGGTTTTAATAGCCTCCCACTTCCTTCGTTAAGAGCATAGCTGCTGTCACGGTCCTTTTGTTTTCAGCTTCTGTTCCGCGTACAAGCCTCATTATGGCCAAAGCCATCTGTACTTCCATCCTCCTAGTCTCAGAGGGTAAGGCTGCCTTCCCCTTGTGCCCTTGATGCCACTCTTGATGCCATCTTGTCAACATCAACTCCAGGACCTTGCTCTATTCACTATCTTCTCCTGTAGCCTAGAAATGTGCTCACATTTCTTTCACACTCAAAACATATTTCTTCTTCGTCTCTATTTCCTGCTCTGTGTGCTACTCAAACTCTCCCCCCTTCTCATCCAAACTTCTTTAAAAAACAGTCTACAGTCGCTGCTCTTTACCACCGGCCTTTCACCTTCTTTTCATGTCCATTTGACTCCCACTCCCACTACCTCAGCGAAACTGTTCTAAATCACCTGTGACCTTTAGTTCGCCAAATCTGACAGACTTGAAGTGTTAGGTATATTCTGACATTAGTGCACCTGTCTTTAGTGCTTCACAGTCTTAGCGATTCTCTCCTGGAAGCTCTCTACTCCTGGCTTCTGTGCACTGCGTTCATCTGATTATTTCAGCTCTGTGAGTATTCCCTTACCTTTCCCCTGAGATGTTTTTTCTCTAACTGCCCCTTAAAGCTCGGTATCCTCACAGTTCCATCCTTAGCCCCCTCCTCCTCACATCTCACATAGCACCTGTGTGATTTCAACCACTTTTATGGTTTTAGATTTCCCCAGTGTGTGGAGAACCATCTCTAGTCCAGACTCCAGGCATCGGCCCAGTTCATCCACTTCCTATTGTGTATTTCCAACGGATTACTCATACGGGCACCCAATATTGTACCTTACATTCAATCTGGCAACACTGAAACTTATCTCCAGTTAGACTATGAGCTCATGAGGGAAGCAGTTTTTATGCATCTTTATATCCTCCTAGCCTATCATATACTATGATCTCACTCACATTTGTTGAGCAGTTGACCAGCTGGCCAACCGAGTGAGTGAACGCTTCACAGATCTACTCCTAACCCCAGCTCTGTCAAGGAACACGCACCTTTCCTTCTCAGGTTCCTGGCCTGTGCCCTCTGGGGCTGCATTCGAACCTAAGATGGCGTCACCCATCTGACCCTTCCCTCTGGCTGGTAAAGTCCTTGATTTCCTAAGAGACAAGGACCCCATCTTTCCCAGGGCCACTACTTCTCTTTAGCAGAGAACAGTAAGAGGCTTCCTTTTTGTCTGCCTTCTCTAACTCCCGGGTAACAGCTGAGGTAGGCTGCAGGTCAGGGGTCCCAGTATTCTTGTCTCCCTGGTGATGGCCCTTCCCTTAAGCCCTTCTCCACACCTCCAGCCCCGCCAGTGGGCCCTTACCTTGAAGAACAGTGATAGCCAGGACGAGGCTGGCCAGGTGCTTCCTCTGCTCCATGTTGGCCTCTGTCCTTCCCGGCAGAAGCGCTGAGCAGCCCCAGCAGCCGGCCGACCTGCGCAGCAGCTGGCCTGGCTCCGCCCAGCATCCTTTGGGCTGGGGCCCCCGTGAGAAGCCAGAATCAGAGCCTCCACCCTCTGCTTTACGTGTGGGGGCTGGGCAGGGTGCAGGTGCGGGTGCCTCTTGCTTTTCCGTTAAGGGGTGGTGGGTGGGGAGTGATGGGGAGAAGGAGGGAGAGTGCTGGATTCTCAGAGACGCTTGCACAGAGAACCACTGGGTGCTGGGTAGGAGATGGCCTGGGCCCCTGTCTTCATGAGGGAGATAAGCATCTCTGCCACCCCTGGTTGCTAGGGTCTTCGCCGGCCGTTCTTGTGGCTGGTTCTTGGTGGGACTGATGAGTTCAGGCAGGAGCCCTCCTGTGCTCCGGGCTGGGGCTCTGAACAGAAAGCCACCTCAGTCCAGGCTCTCTCTCAGGAAGTTTTCACTGCTTTTTTGAGACAAGGTCATCAAAAAGGTGCCTGCCTGGTGGAGAAAGACAAGTACCAAATGATTTCACTCATATGTGCAGTATAAGAACAAAGGAAAACTGAAGGAACGAAACAGCAGCAGAATCACAGAACCCAAGAATGGACTAACAGTTACCAAAGGGAAAGGGACTGGGGAGGGTGGGTGGGAAGGGAGGGATAAGGGCAGGGAAAAAGAAAGGGGGCCTTATGATTAGCATGTATAATGTGGGTGGGGGCACAGGGAGGGCTGCGCAACACAGAGAAGACTAGTGATTCCACAGCATCTTACTACGCTGATGGATAGTGACTGTAATGGGGTTTGTGGGGGGGACTTGGTGAAGGGGGGAGCCTAGTAAACATAATGTTCTTCATGTAATTGTAGATTAATGATACCAAAAAAATAAAAAACAAACCACACAGATCAGAAAAAAAAAAGAAAAAAGGTTCCTGCCTGGAAGGGAATAGGTAGGACAGTTCCAATAACGCAGGCCATGCCTTGGGGCCAGGGCCCCAGCTGCGTTGTCAGGATCTCAGGCCGCTTCTCCCTCAGCCAGCCAGTCAGTGAGTCATACGCAGGCCTCCTGTTATGTGCCAGGTACAAACTAGGTGGTAGAGATACAGAAGTGAATAAGACGTACAAGATCCCTGCCCTCTGGTAAGTTACAGTACAGCTGTGGCAGTGGAGAGAGGTCGATGCCCACAGGCCCTGGGGAACAACATCCATTTGTCCCCTGGGGTAGCTCAATTCTGCTTGTGAGTCAATCATACTGCTGTTAATAACTTTCTCTTACTGAGCACATATGATGTGTCAGGCACCTGCAAACATTTTGTTTGAAACCTTATCATGATTCTGAGGGAATCTGGTTCTGGAAAATTCCTTGACTGGCCCAGGCCCAGGGGGTAGGTAGTTTTGGAGCCAGGATTCAAATCTCTGGCTGGGGGTGCTCCAAAGCTCAGCTTCCCACTGGAAAGAAACTGTTTCATCTGATGTCCCAGGCTGCCCAAGGAGGACCTGGGGCAGGGTCCCAAGAAAGACCACAAATGGGCAGAACCTAACGGGTATGGCTTATAGCTCACAGCTGCTCTCAAGGGTTTTAGCAGTTTTGAGGTGGTGAGTGAATGTAGTTATATTGCTGACAGAAACTCTGAAGTTACTGTTTTTATCAGTGACTCAGGAAAGGACCCTCTAGATCTCCTTTGACTTCCCAGAAGTCCAGGCAACCTTTTCCATATTCTCTGCTCTCCCTTCTGCCCCACTCCCAAGCTCTGGCTCAGTAAAAGAACAACATGCACCTGCTTCCTTCCTGCTCCGCCTCCAGCCTCCCCCTACCCTGACAGTCTCCTATCATCCACATCAAAGAGCAGAGAAACAGGCATCTTCTGCTTCCTCCCCCACCCTTTACTTTTTCCGGATACCCATGAGTCAGTTGGGGGACCGCAGCTCTCAACCTGGCTGATAGCTCTGTGACCTGGGTCTGTCTACTGGTATTAAATTCTGCTGGAAGATGGAACACAGCAGGTTTCTGGCTGGCTTGATACTCGCTGCCCTTTTCTCCCAAGGTAAGACTTCTCCAGGTAGGCGAGGTCATCTTGGAGAAGGGACCTGAGAGGGACATTACCACCTGAGTGAGGTCCACTTGAAAGTCCCTTTCTGTACGAGTTTCAATTCACCGGGGAGGGCTGTCAAGGAGGGCAGGCCTGGGATGCAGCACAGGGTCTTGGCTCTGAGGGACTCTAGCTAGGGGTGTATCTTGGCCTTGACTGTCTCTCCGTAGGCTGTAGACCAGAGAACTGTAAGATAGTTGTGTGTGTGTGTGTGTGTGTGTCTGAGCCTGTGGCTGGTAACGAGTGCCTGTTCCTTCTGAGGCAGAAAACCTCAGGGATCCAGGACTCTTGGACACTTGGGCACCATTACATTACCACGTAGGATCATGCCCCACCACTTAGGGGAATGTTTTAAGAAAAAAATTAACTTTAGGTTGAGCGGAAGGGAGGGCAGATTTGGGCAGTGATGAGTAACTCATGTCGGTTCGCCTGGTTTTAAGACTGATAGTTGCATGTCCCATGTCCCAGGAATTCCCTCAGGCACAGACAAACTGGGACAAGTGGTCACCCTTGTAGTCAGCTGCTTTGGGACATCTGAGATTTCCACTGGAAACAAATCCCCAAGGGAGACATGCCTGTGGGATGTGAAGCATCTGATGGACAAGTGTCTGCCTGAGGATGTGCACATAGGCTCCCGGCCTGCTTTGGAGGCATGAGAGACAGCTTTTCGGGGTAGGGGGGTTCCTTAAAGGAAGTTCCTGTATGCAAATTGATAGCTGAATAGGATGGCCAGGGAGAACATAGATCCCACTTCTCCCTGGGATTGGAGGTATGGATCCCAGAGACTCTGTGGGCTGTGGAGATGCTCTTAGGCAAAGCGGTTCAGTGGATGTAGAAAGGCACTGCATATGCCTCCAGCCCTTAAGCTCTCCACAACACTTCACTTGTGTGAAGCCCCAAGAATGCAGTCAACAGAAGTTGTTTTTTGTGCCCCTTCCCCTAAGCAAGGGTGGAACAACTAAAAATCTGTACATGAGATTTGCTCTGGGTCTCTGTCTGGGCCACTGGGCTGGTGATTCATAACGGCGCCTCCCCTACCCCCCGCCATTCCTGACCCTGGGGAGAAAGGCTTTAGCAGTGAGATTCCCCTGCCCTTGGGGGTTATTGGGGAAGGGACAAAGCAAGAGGGAAGAGGGCGGGAAGTGGAAGCGGGGATGTTGTAGGTGGCTGCGAAGTAGAATTAGAACTTTTTTTTTGAAGGAAAAAATGCAGACTTCTTCAACTGAGGAATAGTCTTCTGGCTTTCCCCCCGTTTCTTGCGTGCCTCAGCAGTCTGTGCTTCTCTCCCACTTCTAATAAGTTGTGTGAACTCATTTCCAGGAAGGTTCTTGTCTGAGCCCAGCCCTGTGGTTTCCTCTCTTGCTCTGTGTCCACCGGGGCCTGTCCTCTGCCTAGGCTGCATCCTTGTGTCCTTCCCGGCTCCTGCAGTACATGGGAAGCCTCCTGAAGCCTTCTTCTCATGAATTCTGTCTCTTTCACTCAACATCGTAAACTGTCCTAGACTTGGAAAGGGTTCCTTTTATGTGGAAGCCTTGGCAGAACCAAGGATCTGGGGCAGACGAAAGCGTTGGCTCCAACTGTGGTATTTTTTTTTTTTCCTTAGTGAGCCTCTTCAAGATATTCGTGGAGGAACTGGAGGACAAAGTGCTTGTGAATTGCAACACCAGCATCAGATGGGTAGAGGGAACGATGGGAAAACTGATTTCGGACAATAAAAGTCTGGACTTGGGAAAACGCGCCCTGGACCCACGAGGAGTATATATGTGTGAATGGACAAATGAGCAACCCAGCAGGATGTCCACTGTGCAAGTATATTATCGAAGTATGTGCTTCCTGGACCCTTCAGATTGGAATGGTAGCGTCTCTGGATCTGAGAACCTTCTAGTGAGAGAGGGCTTTGGGGGACCAATCTGTTCTCTAAACAAACTGGAGTCCCTCTTGCAATGGTAGGAGCCAGATTCCGGAGCCATCAGAGTGGGAGAGAACTTAACGAATGGAGAAAGGGCAGCAGGGGCCGTGTGACCCAGGCAGGTGGGGCTTGGTTGGGAGAGTGGTTTAACCACAGCCGTGTCTCGGTCCCTGTGGACCTGGGGCTTCTTGGCTCTCTTCGTGGCTTCCTTGGGGTGAAGGGCAGAGGCAGCCCTAGCAAGGCCATCAGCAGGCCTTTCTCCAAGGACCTCACTGAAGTTTGGGTCTTGGTGTGAGGGATCCTTGGGTTGCCCTGGGAGGCACAGGTGGTCTCTGATCTTGCGGGCCCTTGGCCTCTCCTCTCTCCTCCCTTCCCCCCAGTGTGTCAGAACTGTGTGGAGCTGGACTCAGTCACTCTAGTTGGCATTGTCTTCACTGATATCATCGCCACCCTGCTTCTCGCTTTGGGAGTCTACTGCTTTGCTGGACATGAGACTGGGAGGCTCTCTAGGGGTAAGTGGAAGGGACAGAGAGAGAGAGAGAGAGTGTGTGTGTGTGTGTGTGTGTGCGCTCACCTGCTAAGGAATGAGGCTGTTCTGTTGGTGGCTGTGTCTCCTCTCTGAGTCACTCAGAGGCGTCCCCTGGCTGGTCGTTGAAAGGACCTGTGAGCCCATTTGCTCGTGCACGTCTGAGGGTGGAAGCAGCTGCTGTCCCCCTGCAGTGCTCGTGGGGTCTCACTGTCCCATCCGCGTGGGCCCTTGATGACTCTCTTACCCTGCTGCTCTTCTACCTCTTACCTCTTCTAGCTGCTGACACCCAAGTTCTGTTGAGGAATGACCAGCTCTATCAGGTGAGCCCTGAGGGGAAAGAGGGGAGGTGGTGGGGAGGAGCAAGCTGGGAATGGAGAGGCTGACACTAGGTGGTGAGTGTATGTAGAAAGGCTCCTAGAGGGTAGTTCATCCCTGAGGGTCTGGAGCTCTCATCCCAGGGGCTGGGTGGGGTCCTCCCTGGGAGAGTTCAGCCCGGTCTCACTGTTCCCTCTTCTCATCTCTTAGCCCCTCCGAGATCGGAATAATGCTCAGTACAGTCATCTTGGTGAAAACTGGCATCGGAACAAGTGAACCTGCGACTGGTGGCCTGCAAGCAGAGCAGCTATCCTCTGTACCTTCTCTCCTTGCTCAGCCAATAAAGGTGTCTTCTTCCATTAGAAGGTGCCTGGACTTTCCAAGGCTCCTTCTGGGTCAAGGCCAGAGAGTCGGCCTGACAGCCAGGCCTATGCCCTGCCTGCCCACCTGTGTCCCTCCTGCATCACTTCCCTTTCCCTGCCCCACGTGAACAGTGTGAGGGGCTGTCTCCTGCCACATCCCGGCCCCCAGGAGTTTCCGGCCTGGTGGGCTCCCTGGGTGCGGGATCTGCCCCAGCACACTCCCTGGCCGCTTGCTGGCCCCAGGCCCCCGTCGCAGCCCTTCCAGAACTCCGGCTTCCACATTGCGGCTGAGCATGGGGTGACGTGTTTAGGGACCCGGCTGCTCAGAGTTTCCATGACATCAGGAGCAGAGGTCGTAGAGACATCCAGGGCCTGGGGGACCTTATTAAGACTCAGGGTGTGTGTGTGACAAAGTGCCACTTCTGCTGAGGGGCCAGCCTTAGCTTGGTGACCCCTGTGGAGTGGTAGCCATGAGCCGTGAGGAGGTCTCTGGACCTTTTTCTCCTGTATGGAAGGTACCATTCATCTTCCTTTCCCCAGAGTCTGTCCCTGCCCTGACCCTGCCTTCTGCCTGATAAACTGGCATCAGAAACCCTTTATCCACTAAAACACAGTATCACTCTCTGCCCACTTGGAGAGCTGGAGTTTCAGACTGATGGGGACTTGGGAGATCCTCAGTAGGCATCATATTCTGCTGGTGGGTTAGTGGTGGCTCTGAAACTTTGGGATCCTGAGGGATTTATTACAAGTATAAACACTTGAGTTCTACTCTAGGCACGTAGGCTCCAGGTGATTCTGAAGCAGCCCCAAATCAGAGATTCTCTGGTTTAGAGGAAGAACTGAGGTCACTTAGTCTCTTGTGTCCTTTATGCCAGTTCCTGTCTCCCATAGTTGGCAACCCCTCCTTTTGATCTCAAAGTAAGAGTAATTTAATGAACTTGAGGATAGTTTAAAGAGAGTGGGAGTTTCCTAGACCAGGGTTCCCAAAGGAGAAAAGAATTAACAACTGCATAGCCAGAAATCTGGACAATTCTGCCCACTATCTCCTTGAGAGATACTCAGACCCTAATTTTGTTAAAGACAGAATGAACTTCCAGTTGACCCATGCTTCCTTCATGGTTATGATTTATTCCTACCCCTTAAATCCCTGTTGTAGTCCTCCTAACCCCAGATCCTACCTTCACAGTGGATCCCTCCACTTTGGGCAACCCTTCATGGCTTGCATTGCACCAGTGCTTGTGTCCTTCCCACACCTTCTACACTCCCTTTTACCTTACATTCCTAATATGCTCTTACATTCCCTATACCTCTCACCAGTTCTCAACATTGGATACACGTTGGAATGTCCTGGGGAGCTTAAAAATCCTGATGCCTGGCTACACCTCCAGAGATTCTAATCGTATTGGGATGGGGCCAACTTTAAAACTGCTTTCAAGGTGATTCTGTCATGAAGCCAGGTTGAGAAACAGTGCCTTCCACCTGAGCCCTTCCAGAACCTTGGGCCTCTTTGGCTCTCTTTTTTTGTGCTTTTAGAAAAATAGCTTTACTGAGGTAAACAGACAAGGCTAAACTGCATATATTTAAAGTATAAAATTTGATGTTTTGGCATATGTATGCACTTGTGAAACATCACCACATCAAGATGATAACATATCCAACACCCTAAATGGTTTCCTGTGCATGCAATCCCTCCCTCCTTCCTCTCTCAACCCCCTACCCTGTCATTGTAGATTGATTTCTGTCATTGTTGATTAGTTTCCACTTTTCTAGAGTTTTATGTAAATGAAACAATATAACATGCACCCCTTTTTGTTCTGGCTCCTTAAATTCAGCCTAATTCCTTAGATATTCATCTGTCTTGTTGCATCTGTCAGTAGTTCATTCCTTTTTATTGTTCAGTAGTATTCCCTTGTATGGGTGTACCATAGGCTGTTTATCCACTTACCTGTTGATAGCCTTTTGGGTTGTTTTCTGGTTTTGGCTGTTACAAATAAAACTGTTGTGAACATTCACATATAAGTCACTGTGTAGACATACGCTTTTATTTTTGTTGGATAAATCTCAGGGATAGAATGCCTGGGATACAACTTTTAAAGAGAATAGATTGGCTGTTCTAGGCCCTTTGCAGTCTCATATGAATTGGTTTATCAGTTACTATAAAATGCCTGCTGGGATTTTGATCAAAATTGCATTGAATGAATTGCAGTTTGGGTAGAATTGCCATCTTAATGATAGTGAGTCTTCTGTTTCATGAACATGTCTTTTGTCAATTTGTACCGGTTTTATTTTTTTTTATGCTATTGTATATGGTATTTTTAAAATCCCAATTTCCATTTGTTCATTGATAGTATATAGAAATATTGTTGCTTTTTGCGTATTGATCTTTATCCCGCAAGCTTTCTAAACTCACTTATTAATTCTAATAGGTTTTTTTTTGTGTGTAGATTCCATTAGAATTTCTATATAGATGATCATGTTGTTTGTGAATAGACAGTTTAACTCATCGATTTCCAGTCTGGATACATTTTCCTTCTGTTTCTTGGCTTACTGCACTGTTTAGAAACTCCAGTACAATGTTAAATACAAGCAGAGATGGCATCCTTGCCTTGCTTGTGATCTTAGGGGGACAGCATTGTCTTTTAACATTAAGTATGTTGGCTACAGGTTTTTCTTAGGTGCCCTTTAACGGGTTGAGAACATACCCTTCCCTTTCTAGTTTGCAGAGAATTTTTAGCAAAAGTAATTGTTGAGTATTGTCAAGTGCTTCCTCTACATTCGTTGAGATGAATACAGTTTTACTTTTTTAGTCTGTTAATATGGTAAATTACATTTGGTAGCATGATCTGTTAAACCAACCTTGCATTCCTGAAATAAAGTGTACTTGGCCATTATGTAACATTCTTTTTATATATTATTAGGTTAAATTTGCTAAAATTTTGTGAAAAACTCTTGCATCTATTTATAAGAGATATTGATCTGCAGTTTTCTTTTCTTTTAATGTTTTTGTCTGGTTTTGATATCAGGGTATATTAGTCAAGGTTCTCCAGAGAAACAGACCCAACAGGATGTGTATGTATATTGAGAGAGAGAGAGAGGGAGAAAAGAGGGTAGAGAGAGAGGGAGAGATTTATTTTAAGGAACTGGCTCATGTGATTGTGAAGGCTGGCAAGTCCAAAATCTGCAAGGTGGGCCAGCAGGCTGATGACCCAGGAAAGAATTGATGTTGCAGCTTGAGTCCAAACACAGTCTAGAGACAGAGTTCGTTCCCTCCTCCTCAGAGACTGCAGTCTATATTTTTTCCCCTAAGGTCTTCAAGTAATCAGATGAGGCTTACCCATATTATGGAGGATAATCTGATTAATTTAAAGTCTACTGATTTAAACGTTCATTTAATCAGAAAAAATACTTTCACAACATCCAGATGTGTTAGTCCAAATACCAGGGCACTGTGTCTCCACCAAGTTGACACATAAAATTAACCATTAAGATACATTTAGTCTCCATAAAACGATTTGGGAGTATTCCCTCTGCAATATTCTGCAAGAGTTTTATAGAACTGGTATTCTTTCTTCCTTAAGCCTTTAGTAGACTTCACCAGTGAAGCCATCTTGGTCTGGTTCTTTGTGGAAAGGTTTTTAGTGACAAATTCAATTTATTGAATAGTGAAAGGCTTTTTAGGTTATCTACTTCATCTTCCTTTGCCTTCAAATTCTATCTTTCCTTCCCTTCAAAGCCCAGATTAAGTCTTTCCTCCTCTATGGGACTTTCTGGAATTGCCCCAGCTCTGTCCGTTCCTCCTTGGAACCCGTAACAGGGTGGGTAGCACTGAGTAGGGCTCAATCACACTGTTCTGTTGCTGCTTAACTCTTTGCATACCTGGCCACTCATGGAATTGCAAGCTTCTTGAAGACAGGAACCATCTATCTGCATCCACTTAGCACGGTGCTGGTCTGCCCCATGTTGGCTGAAATAAACATGGCCTTTGCATTTAAGAAAAAGTTTATTCAGCCTCTTAGGACCACGACCATCTCCTATTCTGATAAACTGCCTCAAAGCCCCTTTGTTTGGGAACATCTTAAATACTTTTTTTACAACAGGGGGTAGGTGTAAGGAAGAGGTTCTATCAATCAATACACCAGGACAGTGTGTAAAAGAACAGAGAATGAATATTCTGATGCCATCTCTGTGTGAGAGGAAGCAAAGATTAGGAAGCTAATCATTCTCCTTAAGTATTCTACTAGGGACAACAGAATCAGACCGGGTTTATCTTCTTTTGAGCATTCCAGGCTGATTTTTCTCTGGTCCTGGGTAAGAGGTTGGGGGCTGTGAGTCTTGTGACCCAGCAAGAACAGCTGCCGGGAATCTTCACAGCACAGCAGGAGCTGACTTAGCTGACTTGGGCCTCTGCAGCTTGCATAGCCCTTTGCCTGTGGGACCACATGGGAAACCACAGAATTTCAATTTCACACACATGAGTGATTAGAAAAGCACTCATTACAGGAATACTTGAACAATTAAATACAGAACTTTTAAGACTGGAAAATGGACAGCATTCTTTATGAATGCATGGCACTGTTGAGAGCGTTGGAGGTAGACAGCCCTGGTTGCTAATTCCAGCTCTGTTCCTCACTAACTGTGCAACTTGAGTAAATGACTTAACCTCTCTGAGCCCCCATGTCCTCATCTGTAAAACGAGGTCATATACCATGTCAAATTGTCATAAGGATTGATTGAGGTGGCACGTGAGAGGGCTAAGCATGCTTTCAGAGCACGGAACATGCTCACTAACTGAGCCACACCTCCCCTTGATTGAGCACCATAAAATACACCTGGGACAAAGCTGCCACCTCTGGGCCAGCCTGCTGACGAGCAGCTAGCAAAGGTCAACATCTGGGAGACGTTTTTGAGCATAAGTCTTGAGTGCTCAGTGGGCAAGAAGCACTGCTTCAACAGGAGGCAATAAATAGAAACTGTGGCCGCAGCCCAAGGCTGAATGTGTACAGTATGTGGAAGGCTGTTGACCACAAATGGTTTTCTTCGTCATGGTCACATGAATAAATAGCTCTGTGGTCAGCAGGGAGGTTTCTGAGTGCAGAGACAGAGCAGAGGAAAGAATGCTTGAGTTGGACTAAGACAGCACCTCAACGCTCTGGCCTCCTCTCTGCAAGCTGAGCGCGGGTCCCTGAGAGGAGAGGGAAGGTCTCCCACACTGCCTCGGGCTGCTGCCCCGCCTTGAGCGCAGCCCACATCCTGGCGGCTGAACCGCAGCCCGCCTCTGGCTGCAGGCTGCTACCTCTCAGAGCGGAGCGGGTGGTGCCTGCCTGTCAGCGCCGCCCTCCCCCACGGTCCCCAGTCCGGCTCAGCTGCCCTTTTCCTTCGACCCAGCTTGTGGAAATCTGGGTCCCATCCGCCGCCCCCAAACCCGCACTCTTCTCCTGCCTTTTCAGGCTTCCGTTTCTGTCTCACCCATTTTCCAATCTGATCCGCCCAGGGACGCATCAGTCACTCTCTGCCACCCTCAGTGTTTTTCTCCAAGAGAAGCTGGGCAAATGATTTGTATTTTTTCCCTGTATTTTATTTATTCCCCTGGTGCCTCTTCCAAAGAGAGCTTCAGATAATGCCCTCAACCAGCTGTGGAAGCAGGTGGTACTTGCGTTTGGGATCATAGCTGGGAATTTAGCCAGAGCCAGGGAGGACCTGAGTTGTCTCAGGGAAGACGGCAGCCCCTGATGGCCTTCCAGAAAAGAGGCATAGCAATTCTTTCAGCCAAATGCACTTTATTTCTCTTCCCTCTCAGTTGACAGGGAGCACAGCACGTTGATGGAGATGCAAATGAACCTCCAGGGGCCAACAGCGGGGATGGGAAGGGAGCAAAGGGCTGGCTCTGGGCCGGGGTCTGTGAATGGAGCAGGACCCCTGCCAGCATTTACCAGGTCCATCCCTGCAGGGTTGCCAAAGAAAGAGCTGGAAATGTAGAAAGGTAGATGAAATAGTTAGGGATGAGACAACCTATACACAGGAAAAGGAGGGAACTGAAGGGGGAAAGCAGGTTTGGGGGGACGAATAACAGAAATAAATATCCTGACAAGAGGGCGGCAAGCGTGAGGAGCGGCGATGTTTCAAAGGATAACGAGGAGGCAGTATTCTAGGACTGGGCGCCAGCAGAGAGGGCGGGCAGGAGGGCCTGGGATGCGTGGCCCGCAAGGCAGAGGCACGATTCTCCAGTGGGATCCAGGCTTGTCCAGGATACAGGGTGGAGCAGACAGGAGAGGAGCCAGGCCTGGGCCGGTGGGACGCAGTGTCCTCGGGCGCTGTCAGATGCCTCTCTGGTTCAGGCCCGAATACAGGTCATGCTGGCCTTTCCGGATGGGCTAGGAGTGGAACAGGGAGAGGTGGTCAGTGGGGTGGGAGGAAGCAATTCCTAAGACAGAAGGGCCTCTGAAAACCTAGCCTCAGGGCAACGGACAGGACGTTGGCCTAAGAATTAGAAGGCAGGCTCCAATTTGAACTTGGCACAAGCGAAAGACTTGAACCAGTCACCTTCTATGAGCCTCAGCTTTCCCATCTGAAAAATTCAATTGCAAAGATCCACCTCTCAGGGCATTTGTCAGGGTTAAATGAAGTCCCTTTCAGTAAAGGGACCACCAAAGGTTTGGCTGGTGCGCAATAACTATTCCTTGGTTTGGCCAGGTGGGAAATTCAAGATATTTACAACTGGTAGTGTACGCACATCAACCAATCAGAAGAACCCAGGTGGTTCTCTGCTCTGCCCAGCATTAACTCTTTGGCAGCCGAATCAGATCAAGAGGGCGAGAGGCTGTGATGTCTGGTGTCAAGGGCTGGTATGACTGGTGCATGTGGTGGGACATTGGTCCAGAGTTTATTATGTTAGAATTTGCATACGTGATGTTCCCCTTGGCTGTATCCCAGCTAATGAATAAGCCAGAGAAAGAAGGATGTCACCCCTGGCTGCCACTGCTCCGTGGCTGTGGAAGCCATGCGGCCTTTGGGGTGGCCCTGTTCTACCATGAAGGAGGCACACGTGGCACATAGTGGGATGTCCTGAAGCCCAGAGTGAGGGGCGCTGAAGTGTCTGGCAGGCCAGATGGACAGTCCCACCTACCCTGTTCTCCCCTAGAGGTACCCCTTTCCCCCCACTCTATCCCTTGTTACCTCGTAGTCTGGATTGGGAACAGGTGGCGGCCTCTCCTTGTTCTGTCCTGCAGAGGAGGTGGGGGGAAAGGACTCATTTCCATGAGGGAACCCCAATCTGGTGGCAGTGAGACTCATATCTAGGATGGCGCCTCCTTGGTTCCCTCCTCTGTGGCTCCCTTTCTGCCTCTCAGCTGCCCTTTCTCTTTTCTTTCTTTCATCTGGTCTGTAAGGACCCCACACCCCTCTTATCACTTGGTGACTTTCCCAGATCCAGGCCCTTCCACTGTTTCCTTTCCCCCAAAGGAAGGGAAAGGAACGGGCAGAAATGAACGTCCCAAAGTCTCTCTCCCCACAGACTGGGGTGGAGTCTGAAAACTCTAGAGGCTGACAGGCATTTGAAGAAATGTCAATCAAATTTTTTTTTGCATTTTCCTGGGGTGGGAAGGAGAGGGGTGATCTGAGGCGTGAACCCCTCTGCCGAGATCTGGGTAGTTCAGCGAATGTTCTACGGAAGCTGTCTGGACCTAGCTGCGGACCTGCCGCCCGTCCCGGCCCAGGCTGCACACCCCCCTCGGCAGGAATCTCCTCCAACCCAACCCGATGGTCTTACCCCTGGGCCTGCCGCCCGCACCCATCCCTCTGGTCACAGGTTTGGCCTTGGCCTTCCTGTTCTTGCTCCAGTAATACACGAGCAGCAGCAAGCCCAGGGTGATGCAGATGTCAACTATGATGATGGTGACCACTGCCATCAGGTCCACCTCCATGCAGCTCTCACACACTGCAGCGGGCGGGGGTGTGGGGAGAAGAGAAAGGAGCGTGAGAACACCGGACATGAGGAAGGAACAAACGGAGGCCATTCCGTCTTCCGCACTCGCGTGCTTGCCATGGACAGAGTCTCTTTGGATGAGCTTATAATAACAGGCAATGGCAAAGTGTAGTGGTTATGGACAGAGGCTCTGCAGTCAGGCAGTCCTGGGTTCAAGTCCCAGCTCCATTACTTACTAGCTGTGAGAATTGTGAAATGTGTTTTCAATTCACAAAGCCTCTGTTTCCTCATCTACAAAATGGGAATAAAATAATACTTAACTCATATGAGGGGATGACCTGAAAAAAATCCCTGACAAGTGTTTGGTATAGTGCTTAAAAATTAATAAGCACTCAATAACTGTTAGCCATCATTGGTGTTTATTATTTATGCCTTGGTTTATGACATCTTATTATGGTGGCGTTCAGTCTCCTTTGCAAATCCTTCTGAAGAATTTGCCTCTGAATAAAGCATCAGATAAACTCATATGGATCTGTCCTAATTCTGGATGGGCTATGATGCAAGTGTGCCAATCCTGTCTCTTGGGAAGCTGTTGTTTTAGATCTAGTACTGCCCCACACTGATGTTTCGCCTGTAGTTCAGAGAACCCTAGTGCTGTGTGGCCCTGGAGAGTCCCTGGACTGATCGCAGAGAGGCACAGAGATGCTGGGGCACCAGGGAGTGAGGCTAGGGGAGGTGACGGAGAATGCCCTTCTGCCAAGGTCCCTCCCCAAGGAGCCTAGCAGCCTTTGCTCTGGAGACCTGTATTACCTCTTGCTTTCAGGTAGAGATAATGGTTCTTCTCCTTCGAGGAGCTTGTGTAGCAGGCATAGTAACCACTATTTTCAACTTCTGAAAAGTCTTCCAGTTCTAGCTGTTTATTTTCATTAAATGGTCCGGGTAATTCTACATTATCTTTGGCCCATTTTATTGCTTCCGATTCAGAATCCTCCAGGCATGTCAGTGTTACCTTGGTTCCAGAGATGGAAACTTTATATGCTGGGGATTGGGAGAGAAGAGATGTGAAACTAGAGGGAGAAACCAGTAACAGTTCAAAGGGCAAATGCGTGACAAAAGAACTGGCCACGTGCAGAAAGACATCTGTCATCCAGGTCTCAGATCTCCTTGTTGAAAGGTGACTGAGAGCTGGAAAGAGAGGATACACAGGAGAAAGGGAACCGGAGGACCTTCTGAAAGTGGCGTCAGAGTTTAGGCATGGGCTTGGGGACTTGGGAAAGGGGGGATGGAAGTAAAGGAAAACCTATGAAAGTCCCTATTTGGAATGTTTCTGAAATGGGAGCTGGGAATGTAATGTTGGGAGGACCTCAGTTCTGGGGGTTAATCTCTCTCCATCGATTCCTTCTCCTCTATCCATGTACCCGCATCCTCAGACAGGGCATACATAAAAGGCTGATACACTTACTTTTCTGTTCATGTATATTTTCATCTGAAAATGAAAAAAGGAAAGAGTGGTGAGAAAATAACCTTGGCTTAAATTTAAATTGTAGGGAAAGTTTTTCAAGTGAGGCTAGACAGTATCCCCCCAAATTCCAAAAGAGAGCCCATCCTTTAGGACGCCACAAGCCTTAAAGGTGAGGTATGTACTTAACCCATGAAGGAAGCTCGTAGATGCAACTCAGAGACGTCAAATCAAGAATATACCAGCATGTGCTCCTAGATCGAGGTTCATGGAAGCTCAGAAAGTCTTAAAATCTTAAAGCTGAAAAATTCTAAAGCCTTGAGCTTAGCCCCTTGCACTAGCAAAAGACTGTTCCAGACAAGTACAAAAGGGTCTTCTCAGAGATAAGACCTTCTGTCTTTGAATTACTGATGCTTGGGCCTGCTTGCTTTTCATTACTCAGAAGTTCTTCTTTTAACTAACAGAATCTCTCATAATAGAGATCAAATATCTATTTATTCTATATCACTTTTGTGTTATTGCCTTTAAATTATGTGAAGGACTATATTTACTTTAAGGGAGTGATTCTTCTATTAAAAAGCGGCTTTATTTTAAGTTACCTTTGAGTATAATCAACTCTCAATTATTTTTGTTAGAGGGAGGAACTTACGTGGTGGACAACCGAAATGCACTTATATAATTCGGAGATTCAGTCATGTTCCCCGCGGGAGGCAGTTTTACAGCGGGAGGTGGGGGCTGGGGCGGCCCCTCATTTCCTGGGAGACTTGTGGCAGGGGCACTGGGCAGCACCAGGCGAGGCTTGAACCTGGATGTGACAGTGGTGGCACTCCGAGATAGGCCTCTCTCTGTGGGGCATTTTGGTACATGACGCTGTTGGGGACAGAGCACTAGACTGAGTCAGAAGCCCTGTCTTTGAGTCCCAGATCTGCCTCAGGTTGTGTGACCAAAGGCAACTCATGTAACTTCTCCGAGTCTTAGTTTCTTCACCTGGGAAATACAGGAAAAACACCCACTGCACAGGGTATTTGTGTGAATAAAACAGAGTATGAAGCTGAAGGTGGGGAGTGCACAGCTGATGCTCAAGGAGAAAGCTGCTTTCTTCCTTTCTGTCTGGGGGTCCTGCTGCAATGGGGGACAGTGCTGAGTTCTGACCCTGTCACCCAGGCAGCTCTCGTATGAGGTCATAGGAAATGCAAATGAATCATTCTCCAGGTTTATCTGTCTGCAAATAGTTGGGAATTGAGTATAATGACAATAGATAGCTGATATTATTTTGACTTAGAAATAATTTTTCAGCACTGGTATTTAAAAAAAAGTTAAATAAGATAGAAATCATAAATAAAATAATTTAAAAGTAAATAGATAGTTCACCCTACTTGGCATGTTTGAAAAAGAAACAAAGACAATGGCTCACAACTCCTATTGGCACAACTCCAGTAGCAGAGCTTAGACTCACACATGCTCACACAAGCGCCTCCATGCCTGTGCTTGGAAATAGGATGCATGCTCCCAAGGATTTTATGTACATCCAGAGACAACGTTTTCTACTGGTTAAGAAAATGTGCTTCAGTATTAGCTAACTCTGCATTTATATTTATCTCTGTGATTGTACTACTTATTGTCTAAGCCTTGTTTTCCTTATCGGTAGAATAGGGATGTTAGGAGAATTAGATGAGGAAATTCAGGTAAAATATTTAGGGCAATGCCTAAATTTACATATTCATATTCAATAAACTTTAATGCTATTATCTAGACTGCATGCTTCCCATGTAATAATAGCTAAAATTTACCTACTGCCTTCTAGATGTCAGAAATACTCTAAGTGAGCCATCAGTCCTCATAACAACCCTACAAGCTAGGTACCATTATTTTTTCATTTTACACATGATGCTATTGCACAGAGAAGTTAAGTAAATTTTTCACAGGTGCTCAGCAAGTAAGAAGTTAAGCCAGGATTCCAAGTGGCTTCTAGCTTCAGAGTTAGACTCTTAACCTCATATTACACACCCTATCTCTTCTGGCTAAAATACCTTCTTCCCTAAAATACAAGCTCATCCTTTAAAACTCTTCTCAAGAATCATCCCCCCTTGGGGATCCTTCCTCAGCTACCCTCTCTAGAGTTGGCCACTCCTCTCTACATATATTATTTTACTCTGTATCTATTCATATCATAGCTGCAACACACTATATTATCATTGTTTATCTCTCATGCAAGACCACTGGTTTCTTGAGGGGAGAGAATTAGCGATGCATTCATGTGTATGCTCATTATTCATTCAAAAATATTCACTGAACACCTATTATGTGCCAGGCACTGGGCCAGATAAATAAGACATCATCTTTGTCATCAACAAACTCATGATTTACACAAAAACTCCAACCCACAACCACATGTATATTCCCTGAATGTATGCATAGGGGCACATATCATGCTTGGCTATAATCAGACATGATAGTTAACAACGAACAGGCATATCGCACACAGATCCTATAGAAAGATAATTATATTTTCCCTCTAATAGTCCTGTTTATTACTGTGATTGTCCTCCATGACCATTTTGTTCCACAGTTGAAAAGAGGTCCTACCAAGTGAAAATCCTCTTACCATTGTCTTCATTATCTGAAAAGGAAATGATAAGAAACCATTAGCAGTAGTCCTACCCACTACTAAGATCAGACCATGACCCTAACGGTTAAGACTCTTGCGTCAACCTTTAGGAAACAGTGGAGCTTCAAATTTCCCAAGGCTCTATATGAAAAGCTGGTTTGGGCTCTACAACCTACCTTAAACAACTGATGGCTATATACAATCATGGATCTTAAATAATCATTTTGCAATAGATATATTTAAATATCAAATCAGTACATTGTACACCTAAACTTATGCCATGTTATATGTCAATTGTATCTCAATAAAGCTGGGAAAAAAAGAAGATCCATATGGGCGTATGTCAAACGATAAACAAAAATCAACTCTAAATGGTGAGAGCATGCAGAAGAGATGAGCTATCCTGGAACATGTGTCAGTGCTTTTGACTCATCCTATCTGTCAGTAACGTAATACTAAAGTATGCTGCATGGTAAAAAAAAAAAAAAAAAGCTGGGGAGTGGTCCTAAGGACACTATAAACCAGGTAGTACAGTGGAATGTAGACTGGCACAGTGGCTGCCTTTAAACACAAAACTGGTTCACTCAGTTTGGAGTTGCTGATTGAAGAGGAGGGATTCCAACACTGGGACACTCCTGACCCTACAGTTGATATTAAGAAAAGAAGTACAGGCCAGGCACATGTGCACACAGGAACACAACTGCACATTTGCATTTGGGCAGTGATCCTGCGAGTATCCTCAAATGCTGCCCGAGAACCTTATTTACTGCATCCTGCTGTGTGCATTCAAGCCACATATGCTCTAGAAAGTCTCACATCAAATGTGAAATGCAAACAAATGAAAACTTGGCATTTTCAACTTAACAGTCTCAATTTTTTTTCTTTGAAGAGTTGACATTATTTCCTACCATCTCTGTTGCTTTCCTGTTCTTGTCTATCAGTACTCTAGACTTATGAGAAGGCAAAGGAGAAGATGGTAGAAACCCCATTTATTGAAGAAACAAACCCCTTTCGTTCTCTGTGGAAGCTCTGTGGGAGGTCTAGAGAAAGCTCCACTCATGAACACACAGAATGCTGGGTTGATTTCATCACAAGGAAAGAAAAGATATCTCACCTTCCTGCCCCCAAGCGCCAACTAGAAAACAAATAAGAAAAAAAAGAGTTAGTAATTCTGAGGCCCTGAAATTCCAAGCAGAAAAAGCCCTGTTGTCCAGTCAGACCATTTCTGAACACCAGATTCCTTCCCAACCACTGCTGGATCACAGGCATTCTGATACCCCAGATAAGAGACATGTCCTGCTGGGCATGGCCCAGGGCTCCTGGTCAATTACGGATGAAACAGAGCAAGAAAGTATCTAACATTAAAGATGAAAACAAAGTATTTTGAAAAATCAGAAGTTAGAAAAAGCTGGGGCTGCTCTTTGGGTGGCCGGAGAAACAGCAAAAGAATTTTGCAGCCAAGCCTTCATTTTGAAAATTGGTCTCATCGACTGTGGAAGAAAACAAGCTCTTGGTTAGGTACAAATATTGACATTCTTGTTCCATCTCTGGCTCCCGCTTGTCTGATGGTCCAGTTTTTCCATATGTTTTCTGCTTAAGACAGAGCTGGAGATATTTGAAACTTGGATTATTCATCAACTAGAGCTAGTGTGTCGAAGAGAGCCTGGGTACCTTTCCGCGGGGCCCTATCACTCAGCGATAACCTGGTTCATTCCAGTGACATTGCCTGAAGGTTATCTGTACACCCAGCCTCTGCCCTGGGTGAGACACCCCCACCCTCACTGCTGTTGCATCCCCGGAGCACACTGGGCATGTTCTCCTGATGCCAAATCTCTGGCGGTGCTTGGGTCTTTGACATCCATTCTCTCTCTCTCTCTCTTTCTCTTTAGGCAAAGCATAGTTTACACTAGAGGCTTCTGTGAAAATGCCTGCCCACCTCTTGCAGGAGTCACATCCTGCCCCTGGACATTCCAAGTGTGTTCTTGGACCAGAAGGAGAGCTTATTAGAAATGCACAATTGCAGCCCCCACTCCCAACGTACTGAGGCAGAAGCTGTAGTTTAATAAGATCCCCAGAGGACTCATGTGCACATTCAAACCCGAGACACCCACGATGAAGCAGGAAGTGGGGGGGCATCATGGCTGCGGCTCTGAGACAGGAGCCCCTGCCGAGAGAGCATTTTCTAGGTCTCTGAAATCAAACCTTGGCGAGCCATTTGCTTCACGTAGTGCAGCCATTAAGAGCCCAGGCCTGTAGACAGACAGCCCTGATTGCCCAGTTCAGCTTTAGTGCCTAGTAGCTGTGCAGTTCTCAACAAGTTATTTAGCGTCTCTGAATATCAGATTCTTCACCTGCAGAATAGGGAACATAACACTCACCTTCTAGGTGGGGATCAGGATTAAATTAGTTAACACATGGAAAGAAATTTTCTTTATACAGTATCTGGCACTTAATAAATGGCCACCTTTAAAGAAAATCTTCCTTATCTCATATGAGACATGAAATGTTGGTTATCAATTTATATCCCACCTTGCTTCAAAAAGCGCTAAACGAATAGAAAATTCTTGGTTAGCTGAAAAGGATGGAAAATTATAAGGTGTTTTATTGTCTCGTCTCAGACACAAGGCTTGCTATGCTCTGCGCAGTTCGGGTTCAACTATCTGCTCTCCTCACAAGGAGTGGGGGTCGGCTCTTCTAATCTCTTTTGTGTTAGTTCTCAAAGACCCAGTAGTTCACTGACAGAACCCACTTGTTTTTGAAGGCCAAGAGCTCTTTGCTTTCAACAGCTATGAACCTAACTGTTTTTTTTTTTGTTGTTGTTGTTGCTGTTCCCTGAATGGTCTCTGGCACATCTTTTTTGTTAGCCTCCAGCCTTAGTTCCCTCCCCTAACACAGCACAAATGGGTCCTTACATCTTCGGGTAAATGAGGCTCCCTGGCACCAGTGGGCCTTCCCATGGCCTGGAGAAACCACCCTTTCCCATTCCACGCTGCTCACCTGATAAGAGGCAGAGCCCCAGAACTGTCCAGAGATTCCTTGACGGCATCCTTCTCTCACAGGACATTTACTCTACCTAAAATGGCGGAGGACAAGTTACTTATTCGTTCTGAAAAAGAAACCAGAAGACTTTTTCAAAACCCCTGCTGGAGATGAGGACCCTGGGGCCCTTGCCCCCCAGTTGCCCCAGTGAAGGAGGGCGCTTTGTAGAGGGAGACTCACCATTTTCTGAAGCAGGCACCTACGGCTGGGAGGGGAGGCGGGTTTCTGAACCCTCGCAGGAAGTGTGGAGGGGCCTCTGGGCCTGCAGGGCTCTGCGTCACTGGGAAACGTTCGAGGCAGAGGCAGCCACCTGGGCAGGCTGGGGAGATGAGCCCCACATCATCCCTACAGTATGAGCAAGAGAACTCTGGCAAAATGTGAGGGTGTGGTGAAAAATACCTGCAATTTAGCTGCCCCGGGGCCTTGCACAATGTATCTCCACACTGGGGACCCCCACTCAAGAACTGCCTCTCCCCAGATAAGCCGTGACAGGAAGAACAACAAACACCAAGTATCTGCTTTCATTACGGTGTGCCTGGCACGGAGTGGCGAGGGGTAGCCATTTTTTTTAACAAAAGCTCCTGGCTTGAAAATACATGTTGGCTTAAAATCATGAGATGTCGTTTTTTTTTTTTTTTT